CCTACTAGATAAATATATGAATGTATAGTGTTTGTAACAAGTTTAGTAGCCACTCATTGATTAATAGAATCACTACATTATCTTTCAAATAATTAATTCTTTTAAGCTGCTGTGAAATTCCAAATGAATATCCAATTCTCTCTTTTAAAATATCCCAATATTCTTTCAGCAGTAGCACAAAAATTTTAGGTAACGATCTCAATCCAACTTTTTGATATTTTATAGTTTGAATGTCTAAACAACTACAATTCGATAGGTGTTGAAGGTAGTGTCACTGCAGTTGGTGCAAAAGTTAACTTAATCCCAAATACGTATTAAGTTTAACATTGTTAAAGCTATTATGCTTAGAGCTGTTCGCTAATAATCAGAGTCCTTATACGAAGCTTTATATGTCGCACAGTATTCTTGAACATCTGTTCAGCTAAATGTCCCTCTATCTGTCGGTTCATCTGTCTATGTAAGCAAGTATTTCAAAAAGCTATAACTAGACAGGTTCATTAAAAATAAATGAATAAAACTGCTATAATAAAAGTCAAGTAATTGAAACTATTTTAAAACACATTGTATAAGAATTTACTTTGGAAGGTGGTGTACGGCTCCAGCATTCAATATTTTTCATGATCGTGACTTGGCTAGCGAATTATAAACATTGCCAAAATTGTTCAAGCCAAATGGCTTATCTTACATTTGGTTCTACCCATTGACAGCCAGAACATAAATCTTTCCCCAATGCGAATTTGTGCTCATCAATGTGACTGATTGAGATTAGCTTATAATTAATGATTGGCCATCACTCTGTGTGCTCAATAAGCTCCAAAAGACTGCGCCTCCATGACTAGCATAAAACGCCCCGAGCCCATAAATTATGCCAAAAATTTACACATTCAGCTGGCAAGGCAAGGCAAACAAACAAACAAAAACAAAACAAAAATTCATTGACTGCCGTCTGCAATTACAGCACAAATGTTTGCACAAAAATCCATTGGATTCTGATGCGTGCCAACCCGAAATGCGCATCGAAATATTTATAGAAAACAAAGGTATGGTGTTGTGGATTAGGGTTCGGGTTCAAGCGGTGGCGGCACTGCCAATTGCTGCCCCTTAATTAATGTAAGCGTAAATCGATGTGGGACCGTCAGAAAGGTAACGAATATTGTTAGCCTTTTAGCCCAAACTTGTCTTCATATTAAACTTGCATGAGAAGGTCGAAAGGCGAGTGGCAATGACAAAGATTAGGGACACCACATCGTCATCATCATCATCATCATGATCATCATTGCGTATGCAAATGTTGTCGTACGCCTGTCGGATTCGTGGCAGCATCTGCCCCATTCTGAACCGACCCAATCGGTTTCATTTACAACCAGTTTATACCCCAACTTGCTGACAGACGCCGACGTCACTTCGTGTGGGGCCCCACTTGAAGAATAAAAACGCAGTCATCTCTGTTTGAAAAAAGTTCAAGCCATACGCATTTTCTCTAATAAGTTGTACAAGTATTCAAGCAGTTGAACCCACGCCCCAATGTTCAAAATTCAAATGAATGTATTCAACTGAATGAATTCCGCTTAAGGTTCAAATGAAAATCTTCAATTTTAGAAGCATTTGAATCGCAAATAAAAAGTACATTAAGCTTTCTTCCAAATGCATAATCGTGTAAATAATTGCTTAAATTTTGTTAAAAATGTTATCAGTATAAATAGAGTGGAAAAGAAGGCTTTATTTTTAAATAAAAAAGCAAACTTGATATACAAAAGCAAAAAATATGAAATAAATAATAAAATAAAATATAACTCAATACTCTAGGCAAGCCAAACTTAACATTTTCAGGACTCTTGGTACAATACGTGCCAGACATAATAATTTCGACGCAATCCCCAAGTCTCCACAGTTTAGGAACATTTTGGCAAATGACAGTCGCATTGGGAGCATAATATTTACAATTTTTCATCATTCTGAGAATGCAGAGCTTCTTTTTGAAGAAAAATTCAGTCCATAAAGGTTTCAAATGTTAGAATAAGAAATTTGCTAGTTTTTCTCTGTTCACAAAATTTGAATTAATACACGAAATACAATTTATTTTTATTCTCTTCAAAAATATTACAATGCACGTCCGATTAGCACATACTTTCCATTCAAAACCCTTGATCGCCAAGTTTTGTTGCTTCCCTCGCTTTTTATTTAGACAGTCAGGGTACATTTAATGATATTTATTTTTATATTATCTACAAAACCTAAATTGCAAGACTCTCCAAATGCACTCAAACGCGCATTTTGGCCCTTCGTTCTACCATCGCCCCAAAGCTGACGCCGCACTTCAATGATAATTTATCAAAAAAGTATACAAAACTTTATACATTCGTTGGAAAAACGCACTTATATACAAAAATATATATGTATATATACATATGTATTTGAGCGTGTATGTAGTTCCATTTCGGTTATCTATCATAATGGGAGACTGTTTTTCTTTTCGCGCTCCCTCTCCGCTCAAAAGACACAGCTTGCGAGCAATTTGCGGCTGATGGCTCGTTAATAAAAATGCACTTAACAACAATAACAAAATAAAAAGCAAACGCAAGAGCCGCTTATCTGACAAATAGGTTACCACACCAAACACCATAAACATACAAGTATATGTATGTGCTGGTTTCTTTTTTGGTCAATATTGATTTTCAGCTGTTGTACGGGTAAGTGTAACGCGAACGTTGATAAGTTCGTGCTGCTCCATATGTCGGACAGAAGTTGGGGCACAAGTGCATTTAATGACATTACACAAAAAAGTGTGGAAGAAGAGATGAAGTGGTGCTGAAAGACCAGTCGCCCGAAAGATAAATATTTAAAATAGGTCCTTCTAGTAGAACTTAGAAAATCAAAAGTGTTTTTCTGTTTATATTGGCTGCAATTACTAGAGTTCAGTCGCACACACACTTACATCAGAAAAATGGTTTTAAAAGAATGTGGGGGTGAAACTGTTAATTTATTAACTAACAACTGATTGATTTGAGTTACGAGGAAACTAAGCTTATAATCTCAAATTCTTTTTAAATAAATATTTATATTAAGAACTTTCAAACTAGATTTTTTCCCAGTAACGAAAAAGTAGAATATTTTCTAGTTTTTTAACATGTTCCCAAACGTTTAAAAGGGTTTATTAGGTTTGCGCCAAGTAAAAGGAATCATCACCTTAGATCGATCTAGACATGTCCGTCCGGCAACCCAAAAATATCTTTTCAATTCCCCCACTTCCACCTCTTGCCCACCCATACAGAATTTTAATACTGCCCACAATTCTAATGCTCTATAAATTAATTTGTTTTCTATGTTTTCATTCAAATCGGCCCATTCTAACGTACTCTCTTGGTTGGTTAATATATTAATAGAATATTGATATTTACTTAAGGTAGTTTGTTTTAATATAAAACTCGACTTTAAAGAGTAATGTTTTAAACTCGACAAAATTTGTTACTCCATAATCATTAAACTAATTCCAATTAATCAAACAGGCAGCTCAAGCAGAAAATGGTGCATTTGATTGAATCTGGTATCCGACTCACTACTTAAAGGCATTCAACAAAGTTGACCCAAATAGCCAAACGGACGCACACAAACATAGTATTGACACGACTATGATGACCGACAAACACTTTAGTTTGAGTTAAGTTTTTAATGCCAATTAAATGGGTAATGGACCATTTTCTGCTGTCGACATACAATAAATTAATTTTATTGACACAATTGTGTGTGTCTTCGTATGTGCCTGCACTTAATGAATATTAATTATGCATTATGATTGCTCGAGTATAAAAACAAATTAATAAATTTTATGCGCCGCAATGGGTATCATTGATAGAATTGTGGAAAAACTGAAGAGCAAAAGAGCTGAACAGCCTGGGCGGTTCTTGCCATGTTGAATAATGGCGGCATTTGGCCAAAAAGGCGCGCATAACAAAAGACCTTAATGTGCACTGGCCTATATAGTGGGCGGGCTGAAGCTGACGCTGGGAGGGGCTGAATAAATCTGCAGCCACAGGCACAAAGCGAAATTATTAAGATGAAAAGCAAAACAAAATATAAGGCACGAGCCTAGAATTGATGATGTTGACGATGGTGGGGGGACGAAGAACAGATGATGTAAGTGAATATATACATATATATTATGTTTATATCATAATCATAAAAAGACTCTCATATGAAAGAGAAATGCTTTTCTATGAAAACATATGCAAAATATTAGTAATATGGAAAGAAACGTTACCAAAACAAAAAGGACATCATAGTTGAGTTTTTATGTCGATATCAATCCCATAACCTGAAGTTTATGAAAGAGTTAATGGTTAAAACTAGAGCTGTCTAAACAACATTTTAGTTAATAAGATGCTACAAGTAAATACAAGAACGCAGCTTGGGGAAGATTATCTTAATTTGAGTGGAACTGCTTGAGTTCGAAATTAAGACAAGATTATCTTCACTCTCGTTTATCCAGACTCCCATTGCCATGAAGAGCACACGTGCGTGCTCAGCAAAAAGGACGCTGCGGGTCCTGCTGTGATAATCACAAAAGCAAAGAAAGTGAAAGTCTGAAAGTCTCTTCCATGGAAAATACATTTATTAAAAAAAATTCTCGATTTGGAAACCCAGCTGGGCCTAAACTTACACCAAGGGAGGACACGACCGACAATACGACGACCAGCTAATGAAAATGTAGGCTCAACTGGAGAACGCTTCATAAAAAACATGAAATGCGGGAGACGAGATTGGCTTTTGAGTAACAGAAAAATGCCAAGACTCTGGAATGATTACGTAAAATACGTATCACCCATACACACACACACACACACACATACATATATACAGACGTAACGTGGCAGGCAGAGCCACTTGATTGTAGGAGCTCACAACATTTTCAAGGACATTGTGCAGCAGAAGGACATTGGACGCGCATGTTTAGACTTAGTCCGTCATTATACAATCAGGTTTTTACAACACTATTAACTTACCGTTAATCAAAAGTTGGCAGCGCGTAGACGGCGGCTACGAGCGCTCTTCCTACTCTGTATTGCTCTGTTGATTTTGGGATTTTTGTTCGCCTCACTAGTAGGCTTTGCTTTAATTGTTGTTTTTGTAGGTAGCTGCTTTGACACTAGGCCAAGTGAATATTCAGTCAGTATTTGTGTATGCGTGCAAACACAGAACACTGAAAATTTCGAAGTCGTAAGCTGTTAACAAATTTTCCGTTCTATTGAACAAAAAACGTTGTTTCAATTCTTTTACTTCTTGTTAAATAACGCGCAAAAACGTTTACGCGACACAGTCAATTGCGACAACCAAAACTAGCGAAGAAGACCGAACCGTACGCTGCGAACTCAGCTGACTGAATGAAAACGCAGTCAGAAGCAACGACCAGAGCCACAAGCAACTAGCGATAAGCAGCGAGAGAGAGCGGAGCAACAGCAGCAGCTGAGATTGGCGCTCTTCGTTGGATACCCAAGCAGCGAACGTAGAGTGGGAGTGTGTAAGTAATATATATGTAAAAGGCGTGAGAGTGTTCTTACATGCATATGTATATATGTATGTTATAGAGGTGGACATGGGCCGTGCTATGGTTGGTGCCAACACGGATTTGTGTTTTATATTTCGACTTCGCGCGAGTTCCTTTTCAAAAAGGAATAAAATAGAGATTAGAAAAACTTTGATAAACATTTGATTAAACATGCAGTTAGAAATGTGGTTATAAATGTAAAATGTTTACATAAGATGCACATACAACTTCTTAAATTTTAAAGTAAACTCAATTTCTGAATTAAAAACCACAACAAATTATATTCTTATATCCACAGTTTTCGTCTTGTACCTTACTGGACCATGTTACGAACACTGTTTCACGTCTTCCACGCGTGCCTGCCCATTTCCATCTCTAGTATGTGTGTGTGCCAAGCCCATGTTGTTATTGTTGTTTTTTTTTTGTCTTTGCTTTTATTTCAATGGCCCTCATTCATTCATGCAGCCCGCGTCGTGCAGCTACTGCCAGAAAAGTAGACTTAGAAAAACAGTTATAATTTTTACTGCATATTGAAACATTTTATGCAATTATTCATTCACACATTCCCACGCAAGCACACCTACAACCAACGACGGCAACAGCAACAGCGGCAGCTGCATAAAAATGTCACGCGTCCACAGACCCAGGTCGCTCTCAAATTTTTCGCTCTCTCAAATTTGGTACCCTAGTTGCCACCTAAAAAACACATAGGGCTTCTCTATTTTATGCATAAATAAGTATATCTGCCATGGGAACGATCGCAGGAAAAATAACGAAAGGTACAAACATTTTATTTGTAAAAATATTTTCAACAAATATTTATATTTATAATTATTTTTTAATTCCTCGCCATAATCGCTTTTTTTAATACATATGTATGTATATAGCATGATATGTACATAGTGACTATGACAGAGGAAGAGGGTATGCAAAAGTCGGGCTCGCATTTCTTTGACATTCTGCTCGTTTTGCTTGCATGTGGCTTCTTTTGTAGGGCTTGGGGGGTTTGCCCTACTAGAGCATAAAAAGCAACGCCAACTAATGTCGTCGGTGTTGTATAGTCGCCTGCTTATGTAACGGTAGCAGCAACGTCTCAGGCATCGTTGAAGGGCAGTCAGCGACCTCGTTCTAGAAAAAAAATGGCAGCAACAGAGAAGAAACACAAAAACAAAAGCAAAGCGCAAAAGCGTACAGAATAAACATTTCGAAATCTACAATAATAAAAATGTAGGGTTTTCTATGTGGCTGCATAACAGCCACTGGGTTTTAGGAAGGCGCATATTGTGGATGGCTGGCTGGCTGATTTTTCATGTTTGCTTTATATGGAGGACTATAGCTCCTCGTTGGCCTGACATCAAAGCTCTACCGAATTGCGCAACAGTCAGACAATATACATACACATATGTATGTATGTACATATGTATGTACGCATGTATGTATGACTGTGTGTCTTTTGGCAATGTGGACAGGACTGACATGAGTGCCAGGCTCATTCGCAAGCAATGCATTGGCATTTTCATAGGGCTCTGTGGCAAGACAGCTTGATTTGGCTGTCAGTTGAGTGGGTTTTCAAGTAGCTGCGATAATGGGAGGTGAGTGGAAAATTTAATTTGGAAAATGACGTTGAAGGTCCAAATGGTTCTTGAAAAGACGTTAGCGACGGCTAAAAATTGCAGCTACACTTCTTAAACTTAAAGTGTTGATTTGCCAAATAATAATTATTCAATAATTTGTTTCCACTTCTTTGTCTCTAAATATTAATATCTAAGTGAGATCTCTAACCTGACTCCTTGAGCCCTTTTGTATTACACATGAGGCAGAGGTTCCCTTGAAATCGTATTTTTTAAGCCAGTTGTGTTTTGTTTGTGTCTTTCTAGCTATTGTAGCATGTCCATTTCATCAGATTGTTGTATTTATAACCATGCATCGCTTGACTTCATTCCATACAATTAACGGCGTATACTGCAGTAAACCCTAAAGAAATCCCCCTACAACTTCAATTTCAATGGTATTTTATAATTTAGTTCGTTTTTTGATTTAGTAATTTGAGAAGTTTGTAAACAAAATTCTTCGTACTCTCCACTCCATGTGCCTTCTATTTCATTTCTAACCTACATATTTCATTCATTTCTATGTCATCTCGGAAACGGGTTTCCCTTCTACCTCCTGTTGTTTTTAGATCCATTTCAACCTTCCATCCTGCCAACCCAACAACAAACGCTATTATAAACTGCCGCAGCAATGCATCTCAGAACTAATAATTCAAGCCGCAGCGAACATTCTACACACCCCCCTCTCTTTAGTCACTCTCCTGAAAGTGCCAACTCTGTCTCCCTACCATTCTTCTTTCTCTGCCTCCATTTATATTTTATTGCACACTGGCCCACAAACGTTGGTTCAAGCGTAATTTAATTTGGTACGCCATTTATTTATAGCGGTCGTCGGCGCCGTCGTCGGTCAACGGGTCCATTTGTTGGCCTGACTATAGCGCCCTTAGCATGTGGAAAATTTATTGCGCCCCCTCAACAAATTAGGTTAGGTCAGCATTCTCACATGGTAAAGCAAAGCAGGATGGTATACATAAAAACACCTGATGCAAATGTCGCCTGCTGCTGTGCCAGCATTTCCTCCTACGCACCTTTTCGACTATACCATAGGCAAACAAAGCACTCCACATTCAGCCAGAAGAGATGACTTCCTGTTGTTGTTGGTTTGTCGGCATCTGGATTTCAGCTTTGTTGCAATTTTACCACAAGAGAGCATGTTTCCAGACGTGCTGCGTAAACTGCCTTTTAATTGAAGGGAAATGTTCAAAGCACATGTGATGCGCATGATGTCTAATAAGAGAGGTGGGAAGGGAAACCAATTGGGTAGATGTCGACGGCACAGTGGGGAGTATTGCAAATTAAAGAAAAAAAATTAGAAGTACAATGTGGTTGTATGACATTTCTTTTAGAAAAGTATTTTATGAAAAGAAATTGAAAACGAACTTAAATCATTGTGTAGAATGATACAAATTGATTCAAAAATTAGAAATCCCAACTCTAAAATTAGAAACTAATAGATAAAAGTTGAAGTATTAAATGCGTATAAAACTGGTGTGCTAAAGATTTTCGATATTTTTGAAATTCGTTTACATTTATATAAGATTTGTAAACTCTTAATGTTTTCCTAATTCTCAAAATCTGTAGAAAGTATAATATTAAACCTTTACAAGCTTCGCCTACTATAATTAACAGGTTGATTTTAAACCCTTTCATTAAATTACACCCACTGTTCGTTGCATGTTAATTGAATTGCCTTACTTTATGGCTGCTGCGTTTACATTTGATATTAGAGAGAAGGAGCGCCGGGTGCACGACGCCATAGTCGTCGATGCCGTTATGTTTTGCTTTTTATTAATTCTATTTTTCATTTACATTCGTTTGACCCAATTTTCACTGCACTCACACACATGTACACACACTCATGCCCATTCCTTTTGATTTTTTTTAGTTGTCTCTTGTGGGAGGTGAGTGATTTGGACGCGTGTGCAGCTGAGAGAGCTCTGAGAGCAACTGAGCGTCATAGTCCCGAGCATTTGGCATCAGCTGCAATTGTCGTCATAATGTTGTGTTTTTCCTTTAGCGATTTAAATCAATTATAGAAATTTAATTTTAGTTTGCGCATAATGTAATTAACGAGCGCATAGACACAGACCAATTAAATTTAATTTTGTGTGAAAGCTAAAAAAATAAAATATCTACGTATGTATCGTGAAAGATCGGTAAAATTTTACGTAGAGCTGCGTTAAGAATAGCCATCAACAAGCACAAAATGTGTGCGAAAGATACCAAACAATTTTTTTGTTATAGAAAATTTTACGCATGACTTTAGTTTCTATTTTTCTAACGATGAGTGGTGGGCGGGCAGTCTGCCAAATGGCAATGCGAGATTTTGCATTTTATTAAAGCTACATACATATTTTGTAAGAGTGCTTTCATATAAAACTATGGGCATAAACAATACTAGTAACATTAACAACGACTACAGTTTACAGTGTTCCCACACATGGCTTTTTATTGCGCAGGCACGTAGTTTGTTGGGGCCTAGAAAACGCCCAACGTGCATGTAGCCAGGCAATTAAACTTGGCAGACTGCGTGGCTCTGTCGCCGACGTCAACGACGCTATGGTGACATAATCACTCCAGCCTAAAGCTACTCACCCACCTACTACAAACGAACAAACACACACACATGAAAAGTTTTTGTAATGGCTTCGAGCTTGCATGTCCTTGAGGCGTGCCGCTGGCTTGAAGGCTGCTCTATACACAGCAGCATTGGCTTTTCTTTGAGCGCCTTTGTGTATGCTACGAAATACAGCAATTCCTAAATTGCTTCGGTACGGCTAAAATATGTAATTGTTGTTACAAGTATTTGATCTTTTGTGAACCTAAAATTCCAATATTCAATTTTATGCGCTAATTTTAATAATGAACATATTTTTCATAATTAATTTCAATCATTATTTTATGTACATATAATTATACTTTTTTTTAACATTCAATAAATAGAAATTGTTAAATTTTATTTGTTGTAAAAATAAGTCACAACTATTATTAGCCCTACAAATAAAAATTTCTTTTTCTTTGCAGTTAATCTAAGTCATCGTCAATATGGGTGCCGATGCAGAAAACGGTAAGAAGATATTCGTGCAGAAATGCGCTCAATGTCATACCATTGAGTCGGGCGGAAAGCACAAGGTGGGCCCCAACTTAGCGGGCATTGTGGGCCGCAAATGTGGCACTGCAGCTGGGTATAAGTACACTGATGCCAATGTAAAGAAGGGCGTAACCTGGTCCGATGCCAATTTGGACGAATACTTAAAAGATCCCAAGAAATACATTCCTGGCACAAAGATGGTCTTCGCTGGTCTCAAAAAGGCTGAGGATCGTGCCGATTTGATTGCCTTCCTAAAGAAGGGCAAATAAGTGACTGATGCAGTAAAATAGCAACGACACAATCTTGACAGCAACTATAACATAAGACACATAACCAATATGGTATATATTATCGTTTATCTTTTTTAAATATGTTTACAATATATAACAACACCCAGCCCAATTAATCATACACCGTTTACAAGGTAGCATCCGTGACCTCAACACAATAAATACTTTAAAATCTAACTTACAAATAATCAAATAAAAATTTATAAAAATGTACATATGAATGTGTACTCACAGGGAACATATTTGAAATCTCGTTTGCGTAGCAGTGAGCTTTGAAACGCATGCACTCTCAGTCTACTGACTATCGATAACACGACACGAGCGCACACCGATAATAATTCATGCCTTTCCCGCCACTTTTGAGAGAGTAATTCTGTACTATGCTCAGATCACTGCTGTTACTTCTCTTCACTTTAGATGGATGGGTACATTGTTTGTCATATAAGTTTGTAACTTAATGAGTACGTTTAACCGCGCAGTATATATTACTATGATTTGTAATAGAGCTGCTAATAATACAAATATAGTGGGAACCAGTTGTCAAGAGGGTAGGTAAAAAATATGTGTTATAAAATCAGTAGAGCGTACATAGCACTGTCGCAGCCGAATGTATTATTTTCACACTATACCTGATGAGAGAGCGTTACACACATACGCACACACCGACACAGAGTCTCTCCTACGCCGCTGACTGCGCTGCCAAACCACCACCGTTTTAACATTCACGATTTCAGCTGCTTGGCTTTCATTCGTCTGTTAACCACAGTTCGCAACGACACAAAGTTAGTGTTCAATGTAAGTAGCGGGAGTTTTAACAAATATTAAAAATAACAAGTGCCGTAAAGATAAATAGAATTGTGAAAAATAATTAGCAGAGCTTGCCACAAGTGTGATATTTCGTATAGTGATTATTATTGCAAAAATTATTACATAATTTGTAGCATGGCGTAATCCTTAAAATTTGCATGCAAATTTTTGGGGTTGGTTGGCTGTTACATAAACATTTAATTTTTGCATGTGTGTGTATGTACTCCAAAAGTATTCATATTTATTGGTTCTTAATGATTCTAAAGTACAAATGACATTTGTAACTTTATCGAACAGCAAACGCTTAGCTAATATTTAAGTAATTAAAAATAGCTTCGATGTGTGTATGTGTATGAGCGCTTTTTTGTGTTTGGCAAGGTGGAAGTCACACATTGGCATTGAAAAAGAGAGCATGAGCGTGGGATGATTACATGAGCTACACAGTCATCTACATATGTAGATGTATGTGTATATCAGTTCTCTCTTTAGTTTTGTTTGCTTTAGTGGAATTTTTCCTCACGTTTTTTATGCTAAAATGATTAAGACGACCACGTGGTTGTTTAACAAGTTGCAGTTTCTTGGCCAAGTGCATAGTTTTTGCCAGGAAAACAGGCGTAGAAGCATAAATAGCAGTTATGTAACAAATGCGCTACTATTGCTTTGCTGCTTGCAGGGAAGCTTTGGTGTTCTTGGAAGCGAGAACGTGGCCAATTTCTGCTCAACTCTCTCCTTAATCACACATTTGTACGCACATAGATATGTATGTATATACATGCATATACATATGTATGTGTATATAGAATGACCTGCTTTCATTGCACTTTAAAAAAAAATGCGTTGAACTTTGTTTTCATAAGCCTAGACACGCGTAGAACAAATGTAAAATTCTCATCAAGGCCGCGCGTTTATTTCTCGATAGCGTAGTTGTTGCTTTATTCCCAATTGGCTCTCTCAATAATTACGCGTCTGTCTGCTTGTGTTAATGAGTGTGTGTGTGTGTGTGTGTGTGTGTGTGTATTTGTAGGTGACTTACTCATGCAACGGAAATTCACTATTCACATGCAACTTGTTTCAAGTGCATCATTGCTGCATGCACGACAATTAGCCAAAGCATAAGCCGTTTAGAAAAAAGTGTGTGGCCGCGACACAGACCCTGAAGCTATTTGTGGGCCATTTTGTTGTATAAGAGAGCAGTTTGATCTTCGATTTTATACTTGGAAGTCGCGGAATTTGTTTTATTGGGAGTTTTGTGAGTTTTGCCTGTTGCTGAGCGCCAAACGGCTGACGCAATTAGAATTCCGCTGGAGCAACATATTCATGTATGAGTGAGTGAGTTTTGTTCGAATAAACATGTGACCCGACAAAGCAAATGTATGTATGGCTGTATGAGTGAGCTATGTGATGACGTTGTTGTCGGCGCTCACGCGTGCGAAGCTTTGCGTTGAATGAACTTCAGCTCATATAACGGTGTGTAGACAAGTCGCAACGGATTATACAACTATGGGCTAGTCTTATCAGCATTACTAATAGACGGTAGATAACCTTAGTAATTGTTGTTTTAGCAGACAGAGCTTCCGTATCTACTGAACTGGCCATTGTTTGCATAATGCAATAATTTTCGTTCTCTTTTCGTTCTCTTTTGTTTCCTCTCCACAGTCGAGTCCGTTTTAACACAGCTAGACAACTTTAAAAACCTATAAAAATGGGCGTACCAGCTGGTGATGTTGAAAAGGGCAAGAAGCTGTTTGTGCAGCGTTGTGCGCAATGCCACACTGTCGAGGCCGGTGGCAAGCACAAGGTCGGTCCCAACCTGCACGGTCTGATCGGTCGCAAGACTGGCCAGGCACCCGGTTTTGCCTACACAGACGCCAACAAGGCTAAGGGCATCACCTGGAATGAGGACACACTGTTCGAATACCTGGAGAACCCCAAGAAATACATCCCTGGCACCAAGATGATCTTCGCCGGTCTGAAGAAGCCCAATGAGCGTGGTGATCTGATTGCCTACCTGAAATCAGCCACCAAGTAAAGAGGTAGCATCACATCTGTAATAAAAACGAGACCACACCACCTCAAGCAACAGCAGCAACAACAACTGTATTAGGGCATGAACGGAGGCGTGGCATGCTGCCAAAAGAACGTGCTACCAGATATCATTAAGTGTAAAGCCCTGGCTGAACTTTGTGTTCAAGTCACACAAATAACTACAAACAAAAACAGCAACAACAACAAAAACATACAGACCTTCAAGTTACAATTATGTTTAATTTAAAGTTTAAATAGGAGAATTTTATTATTTAATTTAAATAAAATGGACAAACTATTTAATTTCAAGCTGACGAAATTGTGACGTTAAACATAAATAAAAACATGTAAAAATAAATAACAAAAAAATTTTAAAAACTAAAGGAGGGTTTTATTTAGTTTTCCTGCTAGAGAAAATTAAAGTATACATTTAAAAAGTTGGAATTGTTTGAAACGAGCTTATCTGGAGAGTAAAACTGTTATCTCATCATCATTGATGATAAACAATCTACGCAATCGATTTTTACGCCAGACTAGAGCGTGTGTTCTGTGTCTGTGTGCAACCGGATGATATGATATAATAAATCGAAATGGATGAGCAACGTTGTTAGCTTTTCGATTGTAAATCTGGGCATTGTAAGCTGACTCCAATCCATGGTGTCAAAATGTTGGCTTCAACTGGTGCCAGTTAATGACCATGCATCAAGCAAAGATTCCAGAAATTGAATTGAAATGATAGAGTTTCCAGCAAAGGAGAAAAGATTTTCAGCTGTGAAATTATTATCTTCAAAAGGCAAGCACATTACGAAATCTAAATGCCGTTTATTAGCAAGCTACATTATAATTCATTTGTCGTATTAATTAGATTATGCATCTTAAAAAACTTGCACTTTCTAAACTTGCAAACAATTTTCCAAGTATGAAGAGTTCTTATTGACGTAATATTGATATTTTGAAGAACCGAAGAAAAAGTTTTCGAGTCACGTGCCAAAGCTTGCTTCTTTTTTTGATAAGCACAACAGACTTTTCGTAAAAGTTATTTTTATTTCCCAATGAAGTCTAATAGAATCAATAAACAATATTATTTTCAACTTCTTTCTGTAAATTAGAAATTAATTCATTTCCTAAATGAATTCTTATTAATTACAAAGTTGGTTATACATTTTGACTATCATATTTTTATTTATATATTTTACAATCGAAATTTATTATACACTTTAACAGCTTTAAACATCTTCAAAAATTGCATTATCTTTATAGGTAAATTATATATGTATGTGTATTTATTTGTAAAGAAAAGAAATACTCAAAAGGTTTTCATTTATCGCTTGTGCCGATGCAATTAAGCATGTCTCTACGAATATATATATGATAGGACAAACTGTACAGCAGCGCAACAGAAAAACAAATACAATACAATAACAACAAAAACAATAGGATACATTAAAAAGTATTTTCATTTTTAAGCAATTTTTTCATTTTTGGAATGCCAGAAAAACAAACAAAAACGTGAATCGCTGTCTAAAATTTCCTCTTCCAGCTTCAAATGTGTGTGTATGTGAGTCGAGAGCGTTTGGCTAACAAGGACTTAGTTTAGAAAGAAAACATGTTTGTGTTAATGGGGAGTACGAGGACCCGAAATGGGCTGAGAGCCCTCGCAACTCTTATTGTAAGTTAAGTTTTAGTTTGGGCAGCAAGGCCTGGCTAACACGCTTGTACATGGATTGTTGTTGTAATAGCAGAAGTAGTGTTGTTGTTGGTATTGGTGCTTAAGCCTTGCCAGCGATGGGTGCAGCGCCTTGCTTTTGATTCTCATTATCCTTCTCCAGTTGCTTGCCCAGATACTCCCTGATAAACAAATCAAACAAATCAAATTTAGTACCGAAAATTTAGTATGAAATGCGAAATATTATGAATAAATGAGTGCTTGAATGCATCATGCATGGTACTTAACACTGCTCTCATAATGAACCTGCGTATGAGGTGGGGTGATGAGTAAAATCTTGAACCCAAAACATACTAACCAATTGTGTACCATCAGTTTTTGAACAGCGAGCAATGCTTCGTAACGGACATTGGGATCCTCATGGCCCAGATGCTGCATGACAATTTGTTTGCCACCCAATTGCTCCAGCACGCTGATAGGAAATTGGGATTTGTTAATTGAAATAATATTTCAAAAACCATTGAAATGCTTACTGTTTGCCTCTTGGATAGTGACGCACATACTCTCCAATATCGAAGCATGCCACAGACAATATGATCGCATCCTTTGAGGTTTCCAGCAAATGCACCAAGATACGCAACAGTTCGTAGTTCTTCTCATTCAAACGCTGGGCATTCTCACGCCAGAACTTGGCCGACTTATGCACCGGGGACCATTCTAGGCGACCACTGCGTACTTCCGTCGCATACTCGTCGAAAGAGCTCAGATCCTGCACAGAGTTCTGCAACTTCTCGCTCAGGTATTCAACATCAGCGGTAATGTCCTCATCATCGAAACGACGCTGCTCCAAAATGGACAACTGTTTCAACACCTTCGACTGCACCATGGCAATGCAATGATCCTTGGCCACCGATGCATCCTCGGGCTTCTCAATCAGATTGCGAAAAACAGCCAATATTATGCGTGTGACCTTCTCCTTGGCACAATCGCTCAAAATGTCAGCCAGAATGGGTATTACGCTGAACTTGTTCATTTTAGCCGCCAGTAGGGGATTGAAGGTAAGCACCCAGAGGCAGAAGATCAGCTGATATTGCACCTATGAATAAGAAATCGAATTTAAATTGTACCAAACAATTTACACATTTCAATTTCAAACTCACCTGGAAGTTAACGCGAGTGGACAGAATACGGATCAGGGTACTAATGCCATCTACGCTGACAAAGGCAAATCGATACTCATCCACTCTCAGCATCATTTGCAGGCAACGCGCCACAGATTGAATGTATTCGTTGCTCTATATGGAGGGCAAAAGGTCAAGCATTAGTCACAGTTTGTTCAGCTTCAGACGACATTGCAATTTTTTAGTAGGGGGTTAGTAAAGTTTTGCACTACGATTTTTCTTTTTTATTTCTCTCATCAATTACACAATTTTTATACGGGGCCAATCTAAGGAATTTTGCGCGCTACACAACAATATAGAAGATATGAAAATAAAAAAAGGAAAATAATAAAATGTGACAGCTTCAATGACTACTACAAACTACAACACTGCGAGCCAACGAGTAGGAAAAACAAAAATTAAACAACAGAAAATATATATGAGTTTTAAAATTGTAGAGTTTCTTGACACACACGTTTTCCGCCCAATTTCCTTAACCTTTTTGCCAGTGTACACATTTTTATTATGTTTGTGGGGCGACAAGCGGGCTGGATATTCATCTTCTCACTCAACACCGACACCGTTATAAGCATTGTACCGTTACACCACATTTAAATACGGCGTTTTTGTTCCTCCTTCAACCATTAGTTGTGTTAGTAATAATATTTTTGTTGTAGCTTAATGTTTATTTTTGAAACTACAGCATTATAACACACGCAGCCCATAAGTGTGCAACACTTTCTGGCTTGCTCGCATTTGCAGAGCTGCAATTGCAGCTCGCACATACACACAAAAACCCACACACACGCAGTTGCTGCTGCTGCTATGTCTAGGCGAGAGCGCAAGCTTCGTGTGCATATGTTTGCCTATTAGAGTTGACCGGCTTCCACTTCAATTCAATTGTGAACTAGCTCATTTCGAAATACAGAAATAAACCATTTAAAAGATTTCGCACTCAAAATTTAAAAATTCAATTTTTTCCATTTAATTTATGTTGAAGGTGACTTTTGTTTCAAATAATATGCAGTATAGTTTAGTTAAAATCTTTACTGATGCTAGATTTTTAAGAAAAAGTTACAGAATAAATTGTTATTTGTTATTGTTCATCAAACTTTAATGTGTATCGCGAAAAAATGTTTAAAATAAATATTTGGAAGTAGTTTTAATTTTGTAGAAAACATTTCCGTTGAAATGATCTAGATCAGTTTTTCGCGAACTACTACTGTATGAATGAACTGGCCAATCTGACCCAAATTTAAATTCTAAAAGTGGCTGAGGCAACTGATTCAAACTGAGCTCCGACAACTCTAATGTGTGTGTGTGTTTGTATGTGTGTGCGTGTGGCTCGTGATGCGTGTATGTGTGTGTGTTATGTGTGAGCTTGTGAGTGTTTGGCATGTTATTTGTTTTTGCTTGTTGGAATACCGGTATAACACTTTTGCCATCCTGCTGCTCCGAATTCATTTCACGATAGCTCTCATTGGCCAGCTCTTGAAGCTGCGCCTGCACCGCCGAAGGACTGTACTGATTGCCACCATGATGATCTTTGCCATGTCCATGCGAATGCACAATGATTGTTTGTGCCCGCTTGGCCAGCTTGGCCATATCTTGCAGATAGGCAGCGCTCTAAGGGAGGGAACCGTGCGATTCAAAACGGACATCGTTGCGTGTTGGGGGTTTTCGTTTGTGGATTATATTGCAGGTGATGGTTTGGTTTGGGTTTTAATATTTCGTTTAAATTATAATTAAATTGCATTAAATTAAAATAGGAATATTAGCTTATTTGTTGTTGTTTGTATATAAAAAAAACACATTCAATAACGCATGAACGGTTTTATTTGTGGTTTGGTGTTTGGTGGTGTGGGTGGTGGGTGCTTTTGGTGGTTTGGTGGAACAGCACACAGGACAGCACATAATGGTTTTTGGTGTGTGCTTAATTTTGTATACTTTTGGTTGCCATCAAAGTTTATTCATGTGCATGTGCATTTAACTTATGTACGAGAGAAATATGTGTGTTTAGGTTTGTTGATAACGATAACATTTGAGTTTCCATTTCAAAATCTTCGATTTCTGCAAACATTCTAAAATTCTTTCAAGACACATTTTTTGCTCCAGTTTTTCTTGTTTTTCGCAAAATTTAAGAATAAAAACAAAAAGCAAACAAAACTAGCGTAGCATGCAAGGCAATTGAAATGTTAGAGGCAAGATTCAAATCAAAACAACGCGGAAGGCATTACAATCGATATTTCTGAGTTAATCAAATTCATGCATAAGAAGCCAATTCACAAGGAGGATTACATATATACAGGAAGGCGGAAGGGATATTCAACTGTCGGCTGGCCGAAGAATACATGTTGATGATCAAATATGATATATGATGATTTATTGATCATTTAGATTGTGATATGGCTTAACAAATAATTGTTTAGAAATTTAACATCTACAGCCTGGGAAATGGACTACTTTACTATATTTTATCACATTAAAATACTTATATTTTTCCAAATGGGGCCAGATCCCACATCGTGAAACAGATATAACTTAACAGATATCTTCATAAAATAAAAAAATTTAAATACCTCTTTCAAACCTCAATCTTATTACTATTTAGTCGAAGGACTTTTATTCTGTCAAAGAGACATACTTGAGCAAACTGTGTGGAAATTCATTAACCGCATATTCTTTTAAAACTGCTTTAAAACTATTTTTCTTGGGAAGTGAGGACCACCTGGAAAAATGTTGTTGTATGATTACAAATTTTTACACATTTTCCTACCCTCTAAATTCGAAATATATATCGGACAAATACTATAATTTGAGGTCAGAACACTAAGTTATAGAGAGATTTTATAATCAAATTTAACAAACCTGTCCAGTGGGTCGTACTTTTTTTGAGGGAATCTAGTGACCAGCTAAAAATACTAAGCTTTTCTTTTATATGCAGCTGCAAATCATGCAAATTATCACTTAATTTTCCACTAAATAATTACAAGTTTGTGGGATCATCTAACAGGAGCTCATGCATATTTACAAAAGTTACTCACGTTGTTGGCCAGTTGATCCTTCAGGAACTGCAAGTAGAAGTTCAGATCAGACTTGGGCATAGATTCATGGCCCCAGCATGCAAATTTGGCCAAAATACGCGACGCCATGTTCACAATGAAGCCATCCTGACGATTCAGCAGATTCAAGAATGGACCCCAAATGCACTGCTTCAACTTGGCCGATGTTTCGTGGAAGAGATCGACGCGGGAGCGATCCTCCTGCAGCAGATCATCCAACAGCACCAATATATACTGTATGGTCGAGTCCTTGGATAGATGCGAAACCAAATTCAACAAAGTCTTCACAGCCTGCGTGCTATTCTGTGTCAAATAAGAAGCGCGTGATTTGTCCAAAGCGCTAATGGCCTGATAATCCTCTTGGCTAATCATCTGCGATTGCATATAGGAAGCCCAGTTAATGGTACGCATCCGAATGTCCGCCGCCTGCTGCTGCAGCACCGAGGTGGCAGCAATCATATCTGAAAGTTAACAAATTGTAGCATTCGTGTTGGGTGGGTGCTGACCTGACTTCGATTTTTCGCAATTGTCAGGTGGGAGTTCTCACCGATGTTCTCCTCGGGCAAATATAGCGCGGTAGTCATTTTGCTTGCTGTTTAGTTGGATGGGTATGCAAAAACAGTTGATGCGCGCGTTTGCACACAAATTCAGGCGCAGGAATTAGTCAAATTTTCAAAAATTAAGTGTGAAAATTTTTTCACTACTGCGACACAGCACCGATATTCAGCTGACAGGTCTTGTGACTTATTCGCCGTACTCGCCGCGGAGTCAGCTGCTGCTTCTGCAACTGTCAGCATGAACTCGCCGCAGCAGGTAGTGTTGAACAATTCAAATGGGAACTGCATCTGAAAGTATCCATGCACATATATCGGTCATTTTATTCCTTTGCTTATTGTGCATGCATACATTATTTTAAGCATGAAAATGTTATTTATTGTTGTTTCTCGTTTCATATTTGTATGTATTTTTTATCGATGTCAAACCCCTTTCCACTAAAAAATCTATATATGTACGTAAAAGGATTATTTTTGGTTCAAGAAAATTAAGAAATTAAGTTTTCTGTTTTATTTAGCTCAATATTCCATTAAAAAAGTGCAGGGAAAGTAAAATATAAATCAATAGAAAATGAAGGCATGCCCGTTTGAAAATATTTTGTATCTGACTATAAACGAATGAATATACATATGTATTCGATAACAACAATTGGTTCCCTGCAGCGAAAACACATATATCAAAATCACTACTCCGCTGCTTTGTTTCGCTGGCATTTCGTTTCGGGTGCGACATGGGCTTTAACCAGCAATATCAGCTAAAAACAATAACAGCTGAACAAACAGAAAAACGGAGAAAATCGAAAATTTAAATAAAAAACAAAAACTAATAAAAAAAATAAGAACCCAGACTCTCATTTGGTGTGTTGCACGCGTGCGTAACAAAGTGGCTCGCGCATTTAGTACGCAGCGGCTTCCCACTTGAACAAAAAATCAAAATACACATGTAATAAAAATAATAATCGAAAAGAACAGAAGTTTCCATTAGCAATAGCTATATAATCATAATCGCTAAAAAAAGAAAAAACAGCCGCAGAAGAGCCAAACACATACATATTTTGTGTACCAGTGTTGAAGTTGTACGTGTCTAAAAATAGTACCATAGACTTGAATAGATACATATATGTATGTATCTGTATGTATGTATGTATGCAGTACATATAGTCTTTTACTTATGTAAATAGCTGCGGAATATAAACATTTGGATTCTTCGTGGACTTTGTGTGATCGTCTTTTCCTTATTTTGAATTTAATTTACTTATATACATACATACACATACACCAATCAACACAAAGTTATTTTCGAAACACTTGCAAACAAACCCTGTCCTACTCATCACAAAAGCAGCAACGAAAACAAAAGAACAAACAGAACTCCAATTATGTGTTTTGATGAGGATTCACCCTTAGAATACCACTCAAAACGATAAACTAACATTTGATGGCCGAGCCTACTGGCTTACAATTTACAGATTAGTTACCTGGCGACAACAATAGCGAAGGCACGACCAAAGAGAAAATGTTAAAACAACCCGCTACAGATTTTTATGATTTAGCGACGGCGAATGTTTCCTCCGTTCTGCCCGGGCGATGCACTCCAAACTACAGTCCTTCCAGTTTAAGCGCTATGGCCATGCACAACAATAATACAAACAACAGCGAGCTAGATATGTTAACGCACAGTGGAGGCGGCACCGATCTGCTCATGAACAATAGTGCCAACGAAGGCGCCAGGGGCGGGAATGGGCGTGAAAACTTGCCCAGTTTCGGTTTTACACAGGAGCAAGTAGCATGTGTGTGTGAGGTGCTTCAACAGGCTGGCAATATTGACAGACTAGATCGCTTCCTTTGGTCCCTGCCGCCATGTGATAATTTGCAATTGGACGAATCTGTGCTTAAAGCAAAGGCTGCCGTCGCATTCCATCGCGGGCAGTATAAGGAGCTCTATCGACTGCTCGAACATCATCACTTTTCACCGAAAAACCATGCCAAGCTTCAGGCTTTGTGGTTGAAAGCTCATTATGTGGAAGCCGAAAATCTACGTGGGAGACCTTTGGGTGCAGTTGGAAAATATCGAGTTCGTCGTAAATTTCCTTTGCCACGCACCATTTGGGACGGTGAGGAGACCAGCTACTGCTTTAAGGAGAAATCTCGATCTGTGCTTAGAGACTGGTATGCACACAATCCATATCCATCGCCCCGTGAAAAACGCGATCTAGCCGAGGCCACAGGACTTACTACCACACAGGTCTCAAACTGGTTTAAAAATCGCCGACAAAGAGATCGTGCTGCGGAGCATAAAGATGGTTTCACGGATAAACAACATCTCGACTCATCCAGCGATTCTGAGCTAGAATAGCATGCAGTAAAACCAACAACAACAACAACAACAGCACCACCAGCAATAATAACAATGGCTGCAATAACAACTTATGTATGTATGTATCCTGTGAATGGCATTAGCGACATACAAAAGATCAGTAGGACACGCCCAAGCACCAATCTAAACACTGACACTTTTGAAATTGTAGTTAATGGGCTTATCATTTTGTGCCACATAAAATATAAAATAGAGATTTATTTTATACAGTTAACAATTCTTAATGTAAACGACAAAGTTTATTTGTATTTTTATTAACAATAAAACCGAAAATATGAGAAAAATGTATTTACATGTGCCTAAAATTGGTTTTATAGTCTGTTGCACTTTTTAGGATTCAGGCGACTCATTTCGTGCTGTAATAGATTTTTTCATGCAGTGCCTCACAGATACTTTTTACAAGTTCTGCTGGTGGCGAAATAAACATTGCTTTTGTTATTGCGATGGCCGTTTGATTCTATTTAATATATTTTAAACAGTCGTTCTGCAAACTAATCTTGATCTGTAATATTGATATTGATAAATTACAAATCATTTGCTGGATTATCATTTATGAAAAGTTGTTGAATCACTGTAAAATATGTTAATGTTAAAAATCGTCTAGTCCATTGCGTATATGCCAACGAAATTCAGTTAATAGAAATGCCACACATTTTTAAATAAATGTATAAATAGTATCTCATTTACAATGGCTCATCAGCTTATTTTATGCAGTACATATTCTTCAGAGGTCTCAAAATTAGCGTGTAAATATTATAATCGGAATGTAATGAGTGTGTTGAACTTTATGACAGTGGAAACATTTATTAACATTGGTTTTCCTACTCTAACTCTTTAAACATTTGTTAATTTTGTATTCTAGCTTATTTCCTTTTAAAGTCGTGTAAACTTTCCTAAAATGTGGATATTATTGTTGAAATATGGATACAATGCGAACTACGCAAAATATGCGCATTATATAGTAAATCTGTATGTATGTATGTACATACATATGGGTATTTATAAAAATGAATTTGGGTCGCATAATTTGTAAATGTTATAAATTGTGCTTGATTTGTATGTGTTTGGTATTGCGCCATCGTTTCCTTTTCTGTTTTTACAACTGCTTACTTTAATATAAAATTAAAGCAATCCAACGGTCAAAAGCCTAGCAAATACATTTTGGCAACAATTTCAACACATTACGTTTTCCCTCGTGAATTGCGAATATTATTAATCACACCAGTAAAATAAAACAATCTAACTACCGAGTGATTTTAACTACATTACACATTAAAATAAATTAACACATAAAAATAATTTAAAAAAAAATTAAAAATACTTAAAATGTTAGTATTTGTTGCATTACAATAAAATTTAAATTACTTTCAATATTAGTTTTGCATATATTTTCAAAGATTAAATACTAGTTTGTAATAGATAGAAAAAGAGGTAAATTTTAAATAAATATGCAAAAAAGAACCAAGACCTCGGAACAAGTTCAGCATTCTTTTAAAGTTTTGTTCAATTAAACTAACCAGTAGTGTTGAAAAATGCAATTCTCTCTCAAACGCAAACCAAACTTTCATGGTAAATTTAATTTCGAACCATTTCCAAAAAGGGATTTACGCTTCGAAGGCATCTACAACGGCATTACTGTTGAGGTGTCCGATCCAACGCAGATTAAGGCGCTTTATGAGAATGGCTGCTATGGCAAGGGTAGTAAGTCGCGTGGGGCACCGGATTCTGGAGATGCCGATGAAAAATTACTGCTTGGACTAGAGGAGGCAGCATTTTTAGCTTTTTATCTAGAATCGCTCATTATTAAGGATACGACGGGCCAGCAAATGAATTGGACTGACTATCTGCAAGTAGCGTTGCAGCTAAATGAACGTTTCATTGAACATCTTGCAGCTTATCTGTATTTAAAGTCCAAGAATTGGGTGATAAAAAGCGGCATCAAGTTTGGTGGGAATTTTCGTAAGTATACATAGTTTTAAGTTGTACACCAGAACTACTAATTGCAAGATCCGCCTCCCAGTTATTTACAAGCATAGTCCGTTATACTACCATGCTGCATTTCTGGTCATTATACAAACGCTAGTCGAAAGTGAGCTCTACATACCAAAAAACCTGCAAGGACTACAGCGCGTGGCCGAGACGTCAGACAAGGATGTGTTGCTACTCACAGTCTTCACCAGCAGTGGCTTAAATGCATTCTACGACATGCCAGCTTCTCTGGGAACCCTGACCATTAACGAGACTGTAGTACGACGGTTCAACTACACTGCATTTGTGCAAAGCAAACAAAAATAAACAATAATATAACTTAACCTACATTTTCTGGACACGATTTTTCTTGGGTATTCCAGTGCTTCGATAGTCTGCACGCTCCTGCAAATAAATAGCCTTGCACTCCTCCTTGAATGCCTCGTTCTGATACCAACGCGTCAGACAATCCCTGAGCGCTGAATTCTGTTTACGACAGGTGGCCACCATAAAAATGCTACTTGATTTGCAGCATTCTTCAAAATCGGCCACTTCTTGGGAACACAGCTCCGTTCGCGCTCGATCCCGCATAATCTTTGGTATTAGCACTTCACGCTCCACATTGCGCAACGAAGTATCGTTGGGATCGCCTAATTATTCAATAGTTGTGGTTATCTGGTAATGTAATGGTTTCTTAATTCTATGTACTTACCAAGGCCATGAGGATTCCTAGGATTGACTGTGGGCTGCTGGTCCAAGCTCATAATGTGTAAAAATCAAATAATTTCACAATTTCTGTTTATATAAATAAAGCCGGAGAATATTGTTTTGCCTTCTGCCATTGTGAATGGCAAAACACATGCTTGCACTGCCATTGAATGTCAGTGCGCAAAATATCGAATAAATCGATAGCTCCCACCACTAATCATTGGATTTGCTTGTCATTGCTCCGGCACAAACAACAGGAAAATTGGGATTTGTTTTAGTCTGAAAAGAAAAATATAAGACTTTTTCAAAATGGAAACTTTGCTGGGTATCAAGGGTCGTGATTTTGTCATGCTAGCTGCAGACACAACCCACGCCCGCTCAATTGTTGTTATGAAGCACGGTAAGTGTGCAATTTTATACAATGTGAATTTGCAATGTAATCTTCTGTAACTTGCAGATCAGAACAAGATCCATCAGGTCTCGGACAACCTAATGATTTCTACTATGGGCGAGTCAGGTGATACCGAGCAATTCACAGAGTTCATTTCGAAGAACATTGCCCTCTATAAAATGCGGAATGGCTATGATCTGAGCCCACGTTCGGCCGCACATTTTACGCGCAAGAATTTGGCCGAATATTTGCGAAGTCGTACTCCATACCAAGTGTTCATGTTTGTTGCTGGGTAAGTGGACTTGATAATCCCTTTATTGTGGCAAAAACTAATATGGTTTTATTCAGCTATGATGCGCAAGAGGGCCCCGAGTTGGTCTTTATTGACTATCTGGCCAATGCAAAGGCCTTGAATCATGGCGGTCATGGCTACGGAAGCATGTTCACAGCCAGTATTTTTGATCGCTACTGGCACCCGAACATTACCCAGGACGAGGCCTACGAAGTACTGAAGAAGTGCGTACAGGAAATACAGAAGCGTCTTATTGTTAATCTGAATAACTTTAATGTCATGGTTGTCGATCCGAATGGAGTGAAAAAATTGGACACTATTATGGCCAGCAGCTTGGCCGCTTAGTTAGATTTCTAACGCAGTAACAGCATTGTAAATGCCTTTTTTTAGTTTACATACATACATATAAATAAACCGGCTATCGCTTTCCCGGATTTTTGGTACGAAACTTTTGAAGAGAGTTGGCATTATTTCTTTTTGCAGATAGTTGGCAGGTCGTGGTTGACGGATTCGACTTTGTTATTCCCTATAGTTTTCATTCAGATAAGAATTGTAATGAAACTGAGAATCTACAAATAAAACTTACCTAACCAAAAAGTTGGAGAATTTAGATTATTATTTGTGTAAACGTACGCAATAATTGGGGGTATGTCCACTTGTTGCAAGTGGCTGTACATGATAATATACTCTTATTCTTACAGGGCATCAAAACAATTTCACAACACGTTCTTTTTGTGAAGACTCTAATTTAGTTCTATACGCACAATGCAAGCTCCTCCACCTGTTCATTGTCCTGGCTTGGAGAGCGAACAGGCCGGTCTAGTAAGCGCCTGTGCCGGGTGTCCCAATCAGAGCATCTGCAGTGATCCCAACAAAAAACTCGAAGACCCCGGCAAGGCACTGGTCGCTGCCGCTCTCAAGGATGTCAAACACAAGTTGCTTATACTTTCCGGCAAAGGAGGGGTGGGAAAGAGCACTGTGACCACTCTGCTGACGCGCTACTTGGCTCGCAGCTGTCCGGACAAAAACTTTGGCGTGCTGGACATTGATATTTGTGGGCCATCGCAGCCGCGCCTGCTTGGCGCTGTTGGCGAAAATGTGCATCAATCGGGCTCCGGTTGGTCACCTGTGGGCATCGATGATAATGTGTGCCTCATGTCCATTGGATTCCTGTTGGGATCTGTGGATGATGCCATCATTTGGCGTGGACCCAAGAAAAACGGCATGATACGCCAATTTCTAAGCGAAGTAGACTGGGGAACCTTGGATTTGTTGCTGCTCGACACGCCACCGGGCACTTCTGATGAGCACTTATCGGTGGTTTCCTATTTGCGGGATGACAATGCGCCGGATTCAGTGCGTGCCATTATAGTAACAACGCCCCAGGAGGTTGCACTGCTGGATGTGCGAAAGGAGATAAACTTTTGCAAGAAACAACGCATACCCATTGTTGGGGTTATCGAAAACATGAGCAGCTTTCGATGCGGGCATTGTGGCAACAGCTCGGAAATATTTCCGGCCAAGACGGGCGGCGCAGCTGCCATGTGCGCCGAAATGGAGGTGCCCCTCTTGGGCTCCTTGCCACTCGATCCCAATGTGGCGAAAGCCTGCGATGCTGGAGAGGATATCACAGCAATACGTAATCCCACAACAGAAGCGCTGGCTGACATCTGTGGCAAGATCGTGAGCAGCTTTTAGTTAAATAGTGTTTTTAAAACGTTTGTATAAGATGCGATAACTGTTTTCAATAAAACTAAGTATGTTATAATCCTATAGACTATTCGAGCATTTAAGATGCAAAGGCCAAATCGATTTTTGTTGGGTATGCCAGTGCTTCGATAGTCTGCACGCTCCTGCAAATAAATAGCCTTGCACTCCTCCTTGAATGCCTCGTTCTGATACCAACGCGTCAGACAATCCCTGAGACAACGGTACCAATTGGTTTTTCTTCTTCAAGCTATTCAGGCAGGTTCACAAAAATATAATGCTTAGTATATTATCTTTTTGCTAGAAGTTTTGCTTATGCTGTTGATGGAATCCAAATTAAATCGGTCGAATATATTCAACCACTTCTCCATTAAATTGTAATTTGTATATTATGTGTAAAGCCCCTATTTAATTACAGTGAGTACTTTAGATTTAAACAGAATGTATACATTTTATACAATTTTGTATATTTCAAATTTGAAGACTTAATTGGAAAAATTAAATACGTTTTTACAAATTCATTTTGGCCCATTTTTCATCTCTGCCTTTGGATTCTTTTAAAGTCCAGAATCAAATGTAAGAATTTGTGGTGAAAACCGGAAAGAAGACCTCTAATCTGGCCATAGAAATGGAGAACCGAGCTAGGTTAAGCTTCTGGAGAATTCCAAATAAATGAATTAATAATATTGAGTGAAGTTTCGGAACAAGCTGAGCTCAAAACAACCTGTCAATTTATTTTTAGTCCTTTAACCTAATTCTAAATATCTGCATTATTATCGTTCATAATCATTATAAGTGAGATGTTGAATATATATATATATATATTATATTATATTATGTATTTTAAAATTCCTTTTCAATTTCTTTCCGTTCAGCATTAAGTAAACTTCTTTTTGAACAACGGCAGATCCAGCTTCGTTTGTTTCTATAGCTCTCTCGATTTTTAAGAGATTTTCTTTGAGCAAAAATTAATCTGTCAGTACAATTTTGATCGATTTAATATTGTGGATTATCTCAAAAGACGAGATGATTTGCAATATCGTTTTACTAATAAGGCACCTGTTTACTTGGATTTTAAAAAAGGCAAAGTAATTGATTCTCAAATAGAGTAAAATGTAAATGGCATGGGTTCAAATGATAAGATCTGTCTTCCAAACGAATTTTATTGAACAAGAAAAGAATGGACCGATACACATACTACTTAGTATGTATCTGTTGAGAGTGTTTAAAATAAGTATAACTGCGAATCATTGTTGCAACTAAAAAGCGAGCCTTAAATAAATAGAGTAAGCTCTCCGCGACTTCTCGCTCAATTCGCTCACAGCGACAGCTCCCCCGAGCGCTTTCTCTGTCGTTTGTCGCGCCCAATAAATTGCTCGCTCAACTCCTCCAACCAATTCAGTTACGTTTTGTATTTCACTCGGTGTGGTTTAAAGCGCTACGACTCCGCAATACAAAGTTCGCCAGCAGCGACTCGTTTTCGTGCGGATCACCGGGTACTGGGTCTAAAAAAATTTTCCCGCAAACCAAAAACAAACATTTTCACACGCCAAACGGTCAAACGAAAACGTGCAGAAAAATGGTGGGCTGTTGGAAAAATGAAAATTTAAATATTCAAACTGGTTTCACAGTCAAGGTCGTCGCTGCTAGCGGTTTTTGCATTTCCGCCGCCACCGCTGCCGCACCACTCGCACAAATAAAGAAACGCCGCCATTTGTGCTGCTCGGGTTGGCCGTTATCAATGCGGTGGTTAGGCGCGATGCCCATTTCCGTGTGTGCTGTTGTTGGTGTTATGATTTTGATTATGTCGTCGATGTCGTCGGTGGATGCTACCCGCATTGGTAATTTCTCCGCCTAAGCTTTGGTGTGACATTTTTATGGCGGCTTTTAATTTAGTGTGTTTGTTATTGCCTCGTTTTTTGTTTTTTTTTTTGGCGAGTCGAAGCGGGCGCATGCGCATTGAGTGTGAAAGTTGTTTGTTTTGTGTAATACAATAAAAAAATAAATAAAATAAAATGGTCTATTATATAGTAGCCATGCGGCATCGGGCATAGTGTGCAATGAACCCAACAACCTGACAGTTGCTGAAATTTTCCTGACCCGCGCACTGATTGTGGGGATTTACTTTCTAAACTGAAGCAGTCTCTGCCCACTCACACAACCAACAACAAGAAACACACAAACGCACGCACGCAATCTTAAAACTCTTTTTTGTGGTATCTACAAGATAGCATCTCACATCTTGCATTTTACAGCGTCTTTGGCTTGCTCAATCGCATGAGTTACGATCTTGTAGTGCTGGCTACTGCCAATTCATGATGCAAACGCAATTGAGTTTTTGTTGGTGTTGTTGTTGTTGTTGTTGCTATTAATGTACTGTTGCTCAGTGGCTCAGAAAAGAGGGTGCCAATAAATTGTTAATCACATCATATCAATCTTCATTCATAAATGAGGAAAATAGATTAGCTGGTTAGAAAACGGATTGGCAGATTGACTTTTGAAACATCCTATTCGAAATTCTTTCATTCTTAACCAAAGCAATTGCTAACGTATATCTTAGAATCGAAATTTGTTACAGCTACCTGTAACTACTAGCTTCAAATAGATTGTTCATTGAAGCTCTAATATCATCTTTTTAAAATGTTGCGCTTATACTATAAGTCGAGTACGCATATTCTATAAAATATTTCAATTATTTTGTTCGAAATTCTTTCCTTCTTAATCAAAATAATTGCTAGCGGATCTCTTTGAATCGAAATTGTTTACTTAATAAATAAAGAAAAAATTACAGCTACCTGCTAGCTTTAAATTGATTGTTCTTTGAAGCTTTTGTATCGTAATTTTAAAATCTTGTGCTTATACATCGAATAGGCACATTCCATAAAACCTTTGAATTATTTTGTAGAAATACATTTTTTCAAATCTAGCAAAGACTTTTAGACAGTACCTGGTTGCAAAAGTGAGCCAAAATAGTTTGCACAAAGAAATATGTAGTTCCAAAACCAGTAAACCGTTTCCCATTTCAACAATTTTAATAGAACTACAGGATTATTGAACATTTTTGAAATATACTACTTACAAAGAAACAGTTACAACTACCTGCTAGCTTCAAATAGATTGTTCTATAGACATCATATATCATATTTTTAAAATCTTGCGCTTATGAGTCGAATGGGCATATTCCATAAAACATTTGAATTATTTTGTAGAAATATATTTATTCAAATCTAGCAAAGACAAAGATGATATAGTACCTGGTTGCAAAAGTAAGCCAAAATGGTTAACAGAAAGCAATAGTTCCAAAACCAGTAAACCGTTTCTCATTTCTACAGTTTTAATAGAGCTGCAGGATTTATTGAAAATTGTTGAAATATACTATTTGCTAAACCTGTACAAAAGTGTCCAAATTCAAACATGTTGGCCAACAGATTGTAAGTTCTAAGACTAAAAAACAAACACGAATTAAGTTATCCTTATAAATTCGTAGTTTCGAGGCTTTACATTGGATTGGTACCTTTCCAGAAATTCCATTTCCTGGTATAGTATAGTGTGGCCTTGTGGAAAACGAGCTCAGTGGCTCAAATGACAACGCCACTGTTACTCGGTTGGCGTGCACAGCAGCCAGTGGTGTGGCTGATTGCTGCAATCACATCCAAGTCACCAAGTTGTGGCTAATTTGGGCTTGACGTGTGCAGCTGTTTTTGTTTTTTGGGTCAACGTTTTAATTAGTTTTCCCAGTAATAATTACCACTGTTCGCTCTTTCACACTTTAATTTGATGCTCGTTTTTGCAGGCGGCGACAACAATAACAACAGCACATTGCCACATAGACGTGCCACACGCGCCACCGTCGAATGCATGCAAGATGCGCGATTCTATCGCAATCCGCATCGAGCAGTCCACAAGATATGGACAAACAATGAGTGTGCCAAGTATTTTCTCTGTCTCGATGGGGAAGTGTTCGAGTTCAAGTGCTCGGAGGGACTGCTCTTCGATGTGGTGCGCCAGATATGCGACTTCAAGGCGAATGTGGACAATTGTGATGTCAGTGCTGAGACGCCAGCACCAAAACCATTGCTGGAAATGGCCGATTGTGCTGATGAGACGCACTTTGGCTGTGCTGATGGCACCTGTCTGCCGCATGAATATTTCTGCGATGGCTCTGTAGATTGCCCCGATGGGTCCGACGAGGGTTGGTGTGATGTGGAACACGATCCGAACGCAGCTGGAGCTTGTGATACACGCAAATGTCAATTGCCACATTGTTTCTGCTCCAAGGATGGCACACAGATACCCGGAGGATTGGTGGCTCGGACAGTGCCACAAATGATACTCCTAACATTCGATGATGCTGTCAATCATGAGAATTGGGAGCTTTACTCGAAGGTCCTATTCACCCAAAATCGGCGCAATCCCAACGGCTGTCCGATCAAGGGCACCTTTTACGTCTCACACCCGTTCACGAACTATCAATATGTACAGAAACTGTGGAACGATGGGCATGAGATTGCCGTGCACTCCGTGACGTAAGTTTATGACTTGACTGCACCTTTCTGTTAATTCCTTCTTATTCCTCCGACAGTCATCGTGGTCCGGAGCTCTGGTGGTCTAAAAATGCCACTATTGAGGATTGGTTTGACGAAATGGTGGGTCAAGCCAACATCATTAACAAATTTGCCAGCGTTCGCATGGAGGAGATTCGTGGCATGCGTGTGCCTTTCTTGCGTGTGGGCTGGAATCGTCAGTTTCTGATGATGAAGGAGTTTGGCTTTGTTTACGATGCTTCTATGGTGGCACCACATTCCCATCCGCCACTGTGGCCCTATACTCTCGACTACAAGATGCCACACACCTGCACGGGTGTAAATCAGAATTGCCCCTCACGCAGCTATCCGGGCATTTGGGAGATGGTCATAAATCAATTGGAGGCCGGTGAGTACACATGTGGCATGGTGGATAGCTGTCCACCGCATTTGGATGGCGACGATATCTATCGCATGTTGACGCACAACTTCAAGCGACACTATCTGAGTAATCGCGCGCCCTTTGGGCTGTATTTTCACTCCACGTGGTTTAAGAAGATCGACTACTTGAATGCATTTTTGGTAAAGATGACACAGTTGATATGCCAGCCCTGCCTAAGCTAACTTCTAAATCATTGCAGAAATTCCTGGATGATCTGCAAAAGTTGCCGGATGTGTATTTTGTCACCAATCAACAGGCTATACAGTGGATGCGGCAGCCCACGCCCAGCAATCAGCTCCATCAATTTGAGTCGTGGCATTGCAAACCCAAGCAGCTTGACACGCACGAGCAGGTCTGCAACATACCCAATACCTGTAAAGTGAGGAGCCGTGTGTTGCAGGAGGATCGTTACTTCTACACATGCATGGAATGCCCGGCACAATATCCCTGGATACGCAACGAGTTTGGTCTGGACTGAATATTAGGTATATTTAAGATTTAATTTATGATATCTCCATTAATTTATACATGTATTGAAAACCGAGTTTATAAACAATTTGTAGTTTGTACAAAAACATGTTTTATCTTAACCTATTGCGTTATGAATGGATTTGCGATGCTCTCGACACCGTCTTGTGGACAAATAAGAACTAACGCAGTTCCGCGGCACACCACGAGTCCCAGGCTGCGGGTAGAGTCCTCCGCTAGCTTGTAGGGCTCATCCGCGTCGCGTAGATACTCTACAGTGCTGTCCAGGACGAGATTCAGCAGTGCATCATATCCTTTCAATATGCCGGAAGCTTCTCGGCCACCGGCAAACTTCACGCGAATTTGTTTTTCTAGATATTTGGACAAATCCAAAATGGATTCCTTGCGACGTTTTTCCTTACCGTCATTGTTGCCACCACCTGTCTAAGGAGCACACCGAAGTTGTAAATAAGTGACAAATTTAAATATAAACAAACGCACCTTTTTATCTGCCATTATTGAGCCGAATTTATTTTACGTCTGCTTCTTAGCGGTAAGTACTGCCAACTTTATAAAAGGCAACATATGTGCTAGCTGCTTGCTACGGTACTCGTGTTCGTCGACAAAATAAGAGCTGTGTGCGTATTAGTCACGAGTTGAGAACTGGCCGAATTTGTATGCCATTTTGTAGCAAAGCGCGATTTTGTTTACTATTGGTTAAAGAACTTGTATTTCATAAACATTTATTAGACTTTATATTTCGGCGACCGCATGCATTTTTGTGACGATGTTTTTAGCAATTAACGATCACGCACTTTGGCAACCACTAATACAAATATCGATAGATCGTTTCACCTCTGGCAGCCACTCCATTTTGTCTTCTAGCACACGCAGAAAAAATCATAATTTCAGCAGAAGTAGTGAATTATATTGGTTTAGCACGCTCGTTTTGTTGTAAATTAGTGTTCAAAACAAATTCGAGGCAATGGGTCGTAAAAAGAAGAAGGCCTCTAAACCTTGGTGCTGGTATCCTTTTCAAACAAATCAAAAGAAAAAATTTTCAGCTACCCAATGCTGCGTCGCCTTGTTGAGGCTCAGACGATGTAGAAAAAATTTTTGTATCTACACGTACACACACGCACGCACACCATTACATTTACATAATGCCGCGTTGTTATTGCCGCTTCTTTTACCGTTTTGGGGTGACGGTGACCCAATTTGCGGCGTCTTGTGTGTTTTCCTTAACCCTGCTCGATTTTCAATAATTTAGGTACTGCAATCGTGAATTCGACGATGAAAAAATTCTGGTGCAGCATCAAAAGGCCAAGCACTTCAAGTGCCATATTTGTCACAAAAAGCTTTACACAGGACCGGGCTTATCTATACATTGCATGCAGGTACACAAGGAGACGGTGGACAAGGTGCCCAACTCGCTGCCGAATCGCTCAAACATCGAAATTGAAATCTTTGGAATGGATGGAATACCAGCGGAGGATTTGCGTGACCACGAACGCCAAAAGAATGGCGGCAAATCCGATTCGGATGACGATGAGCCTGTGGCCAAGAAGAAAGTTGAATGTGAGTAGCATGGAAGATGCAGACCATAGTGAGAGCTTCAATCAATTTGATTTGGTTTATGAATGTATGCTTAGTTTCCATGTCTGTACCGCCGCCAATGATGATGCCACCGAATATGATGCCACCTCACATGTTGGGCCAGTATGGCATGGGCATGATGCAACATATGCCGCCATTGCCTCCGTATCCGGTGCCTATGATGCCGCACATGATGCCGCCGCGTCCAATGTTTCCGGCAGCTATGGCAACTACCTCAGCGGCCGCAGCGGCGGCAGCTGCGCATCATCATCATGCCGCCGCAATGGCGCAACAAAAGCCCACATTTCCGGCTTATAGGTAAGGCAATCTATTCAACCCCGACATAATCCTTTTACTTACTTCTGTCTTTTGTATTATAGCAACGCCACCATAAGTGCTCCACCTACCACCAACAATGCAAATGCTGGAGTCGCTGCGGCGTCAAACGCTGCACCGGCTGCCGCCCCTGAACCGCATAATCAGGCTCGTCCGCCCGCAACGAATACGACTGGGAATGCTCCGCCCGCTACCGCAGCTGTCAGCACAAAGATAATGCATCCGGCTGAGGATATTAGTCTGGAGGAGTTGCGCGCCCGTAAGCCTAAATATCAGGCACGTTTGGCAGCTGCCGCAGTGGCCGCTGCAACGCCTAAAAGCCACAGCCCTCAAATTGGAAACAATAATGGAGGCAGTGCCGCATCCTCAATGCCCGCCACACCTCCGCCAATGTCCTTGCCTGGCATCTCGCCAACGGGCAGCGCCGCAAACGCGATCGCAGTGAGCACAGCCATCTCTAAGGCACAGGAAGTGAGTTCTTATCATAGTTATAGAAAACATAGTCAATATAAATGAGTTTGAGCCGAGACGCGCGCACAGAGAGACGGACGCCAAATAGCCACGCCGCCCGCACTTGTACAAAACAAAAGACAACAACAACAGCAACAATAAACAGTAAAAACACACACAAAAACATACATAACTGCGATGACGGCGTTGTGAGTTTTGCGTTTGTTTCGCATTTAAGAATTCCATTTTTTGCAACGTAAAGGACGGAAATAATTTATAGTTTTGTTTTTCTATAACAAATATTTTGTGTTAGATATCAATTCAATAATATTATTAAATATTCAAAATTTATATTTTAATGATTGTTTTTGCAATTTTCAAAATGCGTTTTATTAACGTTAAAGAACTACAAGACAAGACGTGAACATGAATACACACTCACCAACACAAATCGTACATAAATTTTAGCATATAATATGATATATGTCTGTATAATTTTTTAATTAAAAAACCAATTAATGGCAACAAAAACGGCGGTTTTCAATTTAAACAAATAAATCATTTGATTGAAATACAGAAAAAATATTGAAAAAAATTATAAGAACATAAGGAATTCTTGAATCCAATGGCAACAAGTTTCATCCTCATTGCTTGGCATCAGATGTTTGTCAGACCTGAAAGAGAATCTGATCGACAGCGGTTTCTCGGTTGTTTCTGTCTTAAGGGTGCACCGCATCTTGAATGGCAAATACATAACTCATGGCCCGAACCCAAAGAACTCGTCTAACTCGTCCCAAACAAAATTTGCTATTGCTAACGAAACACAACAACTATCCACATTTTCAATTACAGACTGCTGCCATGGTGGCCGTGGCCCAAGCTCAGGCTCAAGCCCAGGCTCACGCTCAGCACGTGCAGGCGGCTCAGGCTGTTGCCCATGCGGTTGCTGCTCAGCAACAGCACCAGCAGCAACAACAACAACAACAGCAGCATCACCAGCAACAGGCCAAGCATCTGGAGGATTTCAATCGAGCTGTGATGCTGCAACGTTTGCAGGCTGCGCGTCAGCCAAACAATCCAGGGGCGGCTGCAGCGGCCGCCGCTGCTGCGGCTGTGGGCATGGTAAGTCTCTCAATTGCTTTGTGTGGTGCACAACAACAAGAACATCTCTCAACTTGACTAAAAAAAAACGAGAATCCTTAAATGCTCAACTATTTTATTTAACGTGACAACTATTACTCCGTGCCCTGCATTTTGAGTTTTTGGTCAAACTTATTAGGCTCCCAATACGTTGCCCAATATTATCAAGACCGTATGGTTTCAATGTTTATATAATTCATGCATAGGGACGATCAATACTCACAGTTCATCAAAATCACCTTTTAGAAATATTTTACGGAATTACTTTGAAGTTTTCGAACTTCCATTTGAGGGACGATCATTTAAAGGCATTTTTTTTTTTTTGTATTCACAATTTTCTTTTAATACTACATCATTTGTTTGCTTTAACTGCTATATCTTGTGGCGCTATTCCAAATATTCTAATTTCCTCTCCAAATTCTGCAGCAAAACTTACATTTGTATAAGCTGCCTGTCCAATTTCTTTGACGGGGCCAAGCGGTTCCAAGCGCTTTCAACCAACAACCAATTTTAACCCATTTTCCACAGAACAAAATCTAACAATTATCCCGCATTCTTAACACTATATATATCTAACCAAAAAACAAAAAAAAAAACTCCACATACTTAGACTTAAATAATAATAATTTAAAAAAAAAACTACAAAAAAAAACCAAAAATTTCTTAACCTAATGTGCTTGTAACAATTAAAGTTACCGTTACAATTGCAGTACAGAAGTTGAGTTGATAAACAGAGTTGCAGTTGTTGCAGGGCCTCCAACAAAACAGTCTGCACAGTTACAGTATGTATTTTTTTGTACAGTTTTCGTAAGCCTAATAATGAACAAAACAAAATGAAAGAAACCAAAAATGCAAAATACTGCAAAAGAGCTACAGCCAGATAAGTAAATATCAAAACTTCATAATAATAATAATAATATACTCGTACGTACATACATACTATGCAAGTATTAGTAGTCTAAGCAAGTACATACTACCTTTCTCTACCCCCCAAATACCACAAATACCATACCATACCATACCCATACACCCCACCTATCACACTCTGAAAGAAAGTTCTAGTACGTAATGCCTTGCAAAAAGTACATTTTATGTAATTTTGAGAGTTATGCAAGCCATGTAAGTACATTTCAATAATTTTTCTATTAAAATTAATTTGAATTTGTCGTAATGGTTGCTGCGTTGGTTGGTTAATTGATTGATTGATTCGTGATTGATTGATTGGTTGATTGATTACTTCATATACACACAAAACTTTACACTACCACATCGATATTGATATCTGTTAACTCTTTAAAACAAGCTACAACTACAACAACAACGTACTACAATTATAAATTATCTAAATGTTTTATCTGTAAATTGTACTACGTATACTCTATACATACATATATACCATTTTACTTTTTCTGTTTAGTAAAACGCGCAATGAGCAGGTTTTAGTGTGACTATCATACATACTTAAGTTTCATTCACATCACTATTTAAAAACATAAATATTTATAGCTTTTCTTGTATTACATTTATTAATCATTTTGATTTGCTCCCAAGTCCATAACAATACTAACATTTTTATGAAAAAGGTGTGATTTATTTGGGGAGCACTGATAAAACAAGGTTAGAAAAGGCTACCAAAAGCTGCATATTAAATGAATTGCAACCAGAATTATTGAAATATCAAAAAATTACACTTAAAATTTGCAGTTATTTTAAAACTATTTTCGTTTTATGTTTAATTTTAATGTTTTATTTGGAGTCTCTGTTACTCATTTTTGTTGGAATCATTTGGATTTTGCATCTTAATATAACGGAATATCTTTTATCTTGTCTTTGTAAGTCTTTCAGAAATTAACTTTGGCAAGAAAGCTAGATTTCGCATCTTAATATAACGGAATATCTATTATCTTCTCTTTGAAAGTCTTGAAGAACTTAACTTTGGCAAGAATGTTAGATTATCAATCTCTATCAATAACTTATAAAAATTCTTAAATGCTATGTTCTATTCATCCTCTTTCTTGGATTAAAAAGAAATTTTAAACATAATTTCCTTTGATTTGTCAGTGCTTGCTACGCCTACGGTATCCAAAACTAACACATTTCCATACCCATTTAACTTTTGTTTACTGCCTTTTTGCTACTTGAGCTCCCACTTCTTTGCACCAATGTGTCTACGCTATTCACCCATATACATACACACTGTCTCACACTCATTACTGATTTATAATCTTCATACTCACAATTCATTGTGGCCAATAGTTAAGTATAAGTATACATTTATTATTAAAACTCACTCGAAAGAATTGGAACTTCAACTCAACTCAACTCGCGTTGCTTCTGGTTAGTAAAAATTTCAATTTTACTATTAATTTTATTAAGTAACAATAAAAAAGAACTACCTATCATAATTTTCATTTGATTTAAGTTGCTTTTAATGCATAGAGCGCAATCTTAAAAAAAATCTAATACTTTTTACAAATGTCTTGAGCATTTGTGAGTGGGCGCGTTTGTGGGGAGGAGTTCATCGTCTCCCCGCTGCCGTCAGTTCAGTTTCCGAATTGTAAGTACGTTTCTTTTTAATAAACAACCTTATTTTCTATATATGCAAATACTTTTTTTTTCGATAACTTAAAATGTTTTATCTTTAAACAAACAAAAAAAAATTAATGCAAGAGTACCTAAAGAGAATTGTCACTTCTGTGTTGACTCTCTCTTTCTATACTATATATCTCATACATTGTAATGCGATGCAAAAAATGTTTGACAACAACAAATGAAACTTTCATCACAACAAGAACACCTATTATTCATTTAAAGAATAAGAATACGCAAAACAAACTTATTAATATTCTTAATACAAGCAAGAAAAACCAAAAACCAAAACCAATAATTATTAACAAATTAGCTAATTTTGTGTAAAATGGCTTCGAAATACACACGAGTGCCACTAAAACGATTAATTCCCGACTTTCTTCCATGCTCTTCTATATTTTCTCTATCCAACGCCCACGATCAGATGCCACTGCCCGGTCATTTGCAACTGATGCAGCCGATGTTAAGACCCGCTGTCGCCATTGGACCACATGGTGCACTCATTGGAGGCAATATGCTGCGTGCAGCAGGTGCCCCAGGGTTGCCCGGCATGCCAGCAGGTGAGTGCATAAATGATTACTGTTTTCTCGAGGAATCATTTACTATATTATGGCACTTTTTTCGCAGGTATCTTGACACCAATGCAAGCCATCGGATTACCTGCCTTACACGGTACCATGCCCATGCCGGGCATGGGTGTTATGTTGCCTGGACACCCGAACATGCAAATGATGCAGATGATGCAGACACGCTTTAGATGATGTATGCCCGGGCCGCCGTTGTTGCCGGCGCCACCGCAAGGAGCACAACATCGGCCAGTGTCGATACAAAGGCCTGCATTGTTGCCACTGCATCAGCAGCAACCACCACCTGGCCAACTGCAGCCGCTGCCGCAACCACAATTGGTGGGCCTGCCACTGCCGCTGCTGTTCCATGAGTGAGATGCTGGCGTTGCTGTTGTCTATGAACTTCATACATAAATACGTCGTCTACTAACTACTAGATGTGCAAAAAGCAATCACAACTACAAGCAAGTTTTTCAAAACTTACCAACTACGAAAAGCAACATTCTTTTTAAGTGTATAACAGTTTTGCAAGACACAAACAGACACACACATATTCATACATCATATATCACGTCATGTTGCTCTCTCACAAACTGATATGTTGCCCACTAACCATTTTACTAATCGAAGGGCCGTTACTTTATTAATTAGTGGCACTTCGTATGCCTAGTATAACAGTTTAAATTCATCCTATATATAACACACTATGCTTTGGCAACGTCAATCACATATGATGTACACGTACGTAAAAGCTATAATTCGTTAAAGATATTTATTTCTGTGCATTCATTGATTTAAAGCTTAACTATTTTCTTTTCAATTTTCTTTACTCTTGATCCATTATAAAACTCGACTAACAAATTGTTGCTCTGTATTTTCCTGCTACTGCAAAACTCTATAAAAATACAATTGTTATAACAGCTAATAGACCCCTGACACTCTCCCGCTCTCTCTCTCTCTCTCTCTCTATCTGTACACATACGCTCATTTTATATACTCATGAGCTCCGCGCTCTCTCATCAGATACGTTGAAGCGCTTTCTTTGCTGACACACACACCATACACAAAGTTCTGTAGCAAAATAGATCTCTTTCTTACTATCTCTCTGACACTGTAATATAATGAAAAAAAAATATGCAAATTACTTTTAACAATTAATCTACATATTGTTGTTTTTTACATTCTTTTTTTTTAGTTTCATTTAGTGCTGTGCGGTTAGCGCTTTCAGGCTCACACAATATAGTCCAACCTGCCCATGTTTATATACAGATACATACATACATATATACTCTCCATTTACCATGTCTTCTCTCAAACAAACGACAAACTGTACGCTCTCTGGGTATGTTAAACAAAACGATTTTTTTCCCGTATTCCTTTTGAAATGTTGTACAAAACGTTCTCTTATACGTTTTATTTGTGCATATTTTTCAGTAATTATTTTCATAAACATACATATATTGTCAAAGCAAGTTATGTATGTGCCATGCCAAATGTACAACTGTACTACTGTTATACTGTTTTACAATATAAACATGAATGTTATATATTTATTATTTGGTTAACTCTACGTACATTTGTCCAACGTTTGCGTTTGTGCTCATGTTTCTACATACATAGTATCTGAACTACCCGAACTCCCAAGATAAAAATGCGTCGTCTTTTACTTTGTTATACTCGTTCGTTTGTGGATGATAAAAGTAAGTTAAAGAATTATTCACTCTTTTTCAATGTATCGTTTTCTTTTTGTGTTCGGTCATCGCTCTGTCTGTGCACAGCTGCAACCAGGTATCTACAATATTTTCTTTATATATATATTATGTATATTTAAATACTATTTTGTCTTGGTTATGGTATGGTACTAAAAAAAAAAAAAAAAAAAACAACAACATAAAAATAATAAAAGAAAGCTGCGCGCTGGGTACGCCTTTTTAGAAGCTATTCGTAGAAAGTTTCGAGAATTACTCTACTATAGTTACAGTTTAAATTCACCCTACTCCTTTGCATACATGTTAGCAATTATTAGAGTAGAGTTCCATAATTAGCTAAACTATCTATAGTTACTTTTGTTAAACAATTAGCATTGTTATACTGCGTTCACTGTAGCGTTCTTCCATTAGTTGACAAACAAAACAAAAATAAAACGAAAAAACCTAGCTTCCTAAACCACTTGAATAGTTAACAAACATGCTATAAATAATACTATTCCTTAGGCTCAGCAATTTAGTGACCCCGTGGCATTTGATATTACTAGATCGTTAGCTAGTGTTAGTTGCAAGTCACTTGTTTTATTTATTCACTAGCTTAATTGGGCATAGTCTATCAAAATCCTTAAAGCAACAAAACACATGCTTTTAGCAGCTTGAATTCGTACACTTCCAATAAAGTTCAGTCTGCACAGTTCAGTTCCACATATAGTAATACCTAATGTCGTAGTGAAGTCTAGGCTAGTCAATTTTTTTTTCACCGACTAACTTCTCCGTCTACTGCTCAGCACACTTAACCAAAATCCCCAATCATACACTAACCATACATGAACATCTAAATTGTATGTAGCTTTATATAAATACATATAACCACAACATAATGAAAGCCCATACATATATCTATTATCTATGTATATGCGTAAATATCGTAATCATATTGTGTAAATTAAGCAATGACAAGTGAAAAACTGTCGGGTTGCAACAAAAAAAAAAAAAAAAAGAAAATAGAGGAGAATCGTTTGCCCGATGGTTTAGCGCAAAATTGATGTTGGACTTTTGGGTCTGGCAAATTCGCCGTACTGCATCACGCGTGTCACGGTGCTGGAATGGCGTGCTTCAGATGAAAGTACCTCAATGCAAAACAGACAAGTTGTGAAATTTGGTGGCTAATAATTACACACACATATACTTACAAATCACTTACATAAATAAATAATACAGAGTTGTTCCCATTTCTGTACCTTTTTCAAAAGTAAATCAACAGACAAATCACGAACTTTTTCTACAATTTTGTTTTTTTGTTTTTTGTGATGAGTTCACAAACGGTTATAAGAAATATTAGGCTAGGTCTATAGAAAGCGGGCCGAAAAGCATAGAAATCAAATAATTGTACCAGCTACTTAAATTCTTTCTACATTCAACATAGATACATTGAGTTTTAAATAAATAGGGTTACAGATGGAACTAATATTTCCATTGAAAAGTGTTGTTAAAGACCGAACTTAACTCATTTCGTTCTATTCTCAATAGAAACGGCATTCGGAACAGACCTGATGAGTTTTAAAACTTGTACGGTTGTCTATGTGTATTAGGATATGATATTACGAATTAATTTTAGTTTCCAAAAAACTTCGGAACGTCTACTTTTTGCCTGAAGCTGATATATTATCAATTTCGCTTACAAATGTAATCGTTATTAAAAAATGTTGACAATCAAAAGACTTATTCATGTTTATCATTGCAGAAATGGGAATAGGCCTGTAGTTATATTTTCCGAAACTAATTGTAGTGCAACAAAAAAAGAACATTTCCTTAACTGTAAATACTTATTTATATTGATGGCGCCTTTTGAAATCTGCGCTTCGTTTCAATGTAGTTGGTTTCCTTTATCATCTACCTTTATATCCTTCTATTTATTTTTTGTTTGGTTTGTTTTGGCAACACTGATCGTAGTCTCTCTCCCCTCTCTTTCTCTATTTTGCTGGTGGTGGTCATTATGCATTATTTTTTTGTGTTTATGATTGTAAAAAGTACCTATACATATGTATATGCATAAATTGCACGCGTTGTTAAAGTAAAGTAAAAAAAAAAAAACAAGAACAACCATGTTTTGTCCAACAATTTTGGGCGTTAGGTGTTTTCGAATTGTATGCCAATATTACTTATAATAGCCACCAAATGTCTGTTTTTGCGCTGGGCGACCGCAAGTAGCTGGAAAAATGTGACAAACTGTATGCTATAGCAACCGATATACACAGAACTTAACACACACAAAAACATACAAAACCTAACACACACAGACATACACAAACACACACATACACCCAACACACATGTAAACGTTTGCACAACCAGTCGAAAGCGTGTCACATTAATTTTGCTGAGCGAAAAGTTCCCTGCGTCAATATGTCCATATACTATATATACTATAATGTATATTTCAGTCAATCACAATCTATATATTGCATGTCATATGCAGTTAAAAGAACAAGAGAAATACATTTTGAAAAACGCAGGCGATATGCCATCACAGTTGAATGTCGAATTAAAGACACAACTGTTGGACTTTTCGGTCCTTGTCATGCATTCGTATATAATTCTTGAAAATTTAACTTTACTTCAAATCAATAAACTGCACAGCCTGCGGTCCAGCCTGCAGGCGCCTGCGACGCCCGCAATCAATCCAACTATCAATCAACCAAATTGTCCTACAACAGATCCAGGCGCGCTGCGAACAAACAATGTTGCTAGTTTTTAAGCCAATTCTAATGTTTGTTTAACCATAAATTTGTTCCAGTTCGATTTATATCTACTTTGTATACCATGCTTTAAAAATAGTTGCAGCGTTTATTATTTACATATTTAATTGTTTCCTTTGACGCACAAAATGTAGTCATTATTATTATTATTTTTTAAATTTACCAAAGAAGTTTCCTTTTGTGCGCATATTTATTTATAACAATTATAATAACAAAACTCATTGAATTAAATGATTTTTCCTTTTATAGAAGCTGCTGCTTTATTAAGTTTGATTTGCATTTACAAACGAATTAATTAATTGAATATTTGGAGTCTACCGATATATATTTCTAATTACATTTTCCTCGTCATTGCAAAGACTTTGGCAATTTTTCCTAATCGAAATTTGATAAAGATCTTAATACATAAATTACTTAACTAATTGCTAATGCGTATAGTGCAAATGACTAAATCAAAATAAGTATGTAAACATTTTTATTGTTGACAAGTAAATTAATCAAAGACAAAAAAAAAACTTAGCGTTTATACAGAAGAAATGTTTCTATTCGAAAAGAAAAAACAAACAATAACAATAAACACAAGAACAACAACAAACAACATTTTATGTAAACAATTGTTTGATAATTATTTTTTCCTTGAATGATAAAGCAAATCAATAATATTTCTAGTTTAATGTTTTGATTGTTCGCTCTTCTTTTTTAAATTAATTTATTGAATTTAGTAAAAATAAATAAAATCAATTTATATATGAAAATACTGGGTTTTTTATTTTTGTACTGAAGGCCATACGACTCATCACTAATGAGTCAAACAAATGGGATGCTGAAAACTTTGTAAAACATCTCCAGCACTCTTACCTTCGATGACGCATGGGCGCGTCCCAAGTCTCATCATACGCTCAGAAGTATGTAAATGATTGAGTTCAAATATACTTGTATTCTATGCGCTCTGTGCACAGTGGGAAAAACAACTTATGTTGAGTGTAAATTGATGGTTGAGTATAGTTTATTTGACTTTACATAAATTCCTGCACCCTTTTTATAATTCTAATAAACAATATAGCAGGCTAGATAATGAGCTTGTGAACCTGACATCCGTTAAATGTTATTATCGATTATGGAAGCAGCTGACTGCTGAAAATGATCGGCTATCGAAATATGAACATTATGCTGCACCGAAGAGGAAGAAAAAAAGTTGGACCGGAAATCTGTATTTAATTTACTTTACTACCTACAAATTAGTGAGCGGTTTAAAAACAGGAACTTGAACTTTTATGCATATTTGGGAGCATGAAATATGCGAATTGAAAAGTAAAATGTAATCAATCTACAATACATACATATATCGGGTTTAATTATGGGTTGGAAAGAAAATTGTTTCTTTGGAATAATTCAGGAGTTCAGCGGACAACGGACTTACATATATTTAGGCAAAGCAATATTGAATATCATATTACCACTCTGACGACTTACAGCGTCATTTTACTTTAAATGTCTAAAACACGAGCCCATCGTGCTTAGGACAAACAATCAAGTGGTTACAATATATATTTATATATACATACATACACCTAATTCTGTTTTTACACGGTAGATTGGTTCCAGAAAAAGTCGTGTAAGAAAAGACATTTATCATATCTTATTTTAAATCGTGCTAAATGGAATAATTTTTTTTTTTAATTTTCAAACCGTGTTAATCAAAACAAGTAAAAAAGCTAAAGTCGGGTGTCCCGACTTTGAAATACTCTGTACATATGTTTACAATAATTATAGAAAATAAAAAAAATTAAGAAAATAAAAAAAAAAATTTGATCGATTTTACCTCTCTCGGTATTCGAACTCACGTAAAGGGTGTATAATTGCACATTTACATAGCAATTGCGTCTGTGTGAGTGTATGTATGCCTATGCGCATCAATTCGTGTCTGTGTAAGCATTTTCGCAGTCAACCAAACAGCAACATCAACAACAGCCGCGGGCAGCGCTTGAGCAGCGCTTGAGCAGCGCTGCAGCAGCGCTGCATCAGCAAATATATTTATGGCTATAACTTCTTGTTAAATCGGTCTATCATAATGAAATTTGGCATACGGACACATAATAACTAACTGGGGGTATTTCCAAAATTTTAGTTCGAAATTCCAAGAATTACGGGAGTTACGATTTGCGGGGTAGAGGGGGGAGGGAGGGGAATTCCAAAATATACATTTTCTACGTATTCACATAAGGCATCTGGGACTAAAATTTGGTGTTCCTAGATCTTATAGTCTCCGAGATATAGGCGATTATACGAATGGAAAATCGGGAAAACCCCCATAGGGGGGAAGTGGGGGGGAAAATCAAAAAAATAAAACAAACTCGTATAGAATACACACATAACGCATCTTCGTGCAAAATTTGGTGTCTCTATCTCTTATAGTCTCTGAGATCCAGGTGTTCATACGGACGGACAGACGGACAGACGGACAGACAGACAGGGCTAGATCGACTCGTCTCGTCATGCTGATCAAGAATATATATACTTTGTGGGGTCTGCCACGCCTCCTTCTGCCTGTTACATTTTTCAGCTCCCGCAAACCTAATATACTCTTGTACATTTCATGTACAGAGTATAAAAATACCGTGCAAATTAGGTGTATATGTATGATTAACAGAATTTGTCGATATATTTAAATACATACGACACGCTGAAGTTTCTAGCAATTAGCCCTTTGTTCTGGTTCGCAGGCGTATCGAATGAAAGGTACTATGTATAACCTTCTGACGTCATCCAAATGAATAAGAAGGTGTCACAGGGTTTTTTTTTTTAATTTTTCATAAAACATTATGTTTGTCAAAGAACAATAAAATATGGTCTGGCTGTAGCTTTATTCGCATAATGTTGTTGCCTTTCTTTTATGCTACAATGCTGCGATGTGGTTTCTGCGGTTGTGGTAAGCAAAAGTCAGAGAAAGCATATTAGAGTACAAATAGTGCGGATGTTGTTTGTTAATTAGGTCAACGAACCCACCGACGTACTGTGTACTCCTTGTCCAGTGAATCTTAGCTGATAATTTCACCCACAGGCCTAACAGAAGTGTAAGGATGACTTAAACATCAATCATTTTTATGGTACAATTTCTAATAACTTTTTGATGACAAAGTATATTTAACTAATAGTGCCCACAACTCAATAAAAATACAATTTTTATATATAGTAAATAAGAAACGAAGGCCCGACTAGCTAGCACTCGTTAATTTAATATTAAGTTTAGTATTAGATACTAGTTTTAATTTGTTAAAATAAAAAAAATAAAATAAATATATAATAAATGAACTTGAAAGTTACAAAAGTAAACGAAAACAAAAATTGAAATAGAAATGCACTTAAAAATAAAATGGGATATCCCTTAATTAACTCATTCAAAGCAGCTTAAAGGTATTAACATTTTGTTTAATTGACTTTCAAATGAATGCGTGGCTTAGCCCACTGTGCAGCGTTGGCGTTTTTTCAGGGGCTTGTCTCGCACAGGGCCGGCCACTTTTCGCAGCACGCCCCCAACCAATAGTTTGTCACACTTCGTTTTTTCCAAACATATTCAAATTATTTTTACGGAGTTCGTAATTGCTGCATGGCATGGTAAGTTGACATAACAAAGAAATGGATAGAAATGTGGTAAGCTTGAGATATGGCTATCAAAATTTGATAGGCTGACTCACTGACTAATTCAAGTTCATTGGAATTAAATGACGCTCACGCGACTTCGACTTCGACGGAGACTGCGACGCTCACTCACAGCTCACACCACCAAACGGCAACTTCCAAAAAGTGTTGGCTTGTTGGAGAGTGCGGAGCTTGTTTGACTTTTAGTTTCATTTTGAGCGTTGCGGGTAACGGTTGGTTTTTAATATTGTTAACGTAATACCTATATTGGAAGACCTATAGAGAGGTGTGTGTATTTATATACTCGTATGTGTGTGTGTAGATCAACTGGTTATGCGCTTAAAGACCGACAGGCGTGTGCTGTTAACATTAGAGGAAGCCCTAAAAGATATTAAGAGCCATGCAAGATTATTACTCAAAACAAAAGACTTAAGACACAAACCTATGGTAGTATATGCCGGCAACAAAGCAAAGTAATATCTCGTTTCTTGATGCCGACACCATCTATTAGTAAATGTGACACCATCTGCTCTTCGACATTCACTTTTGACTTTCAAATCGAAAAACAACTTCACTCTTTAATAGCGCCTTACACCGTTAGGCGCGGCACACACAGTTGAGTAACAGTTTTGCCAATTAAGGCAATTGAACTGTCCATTTATGAGCCGACTCTGATAAATAAGTATGCAATTGGCAAGTTAAAAAACAAGTGCCCAGCCTTAAATTTAACAGAAAGTGAAGTTGACGAACTGTAATAAATTAAAAATTAAACTCTCAGTTAAAATAAACAAGCGCCTAATTAGCTAAAAGCCGTAAACAATATTTAAGCAGGTCGGGCACTTTATGAAAGGAAAATTACAAATTAAAAATGCAAGCCTACACGAATCTGTTGAATTGACGCATTGTGGCTGAAAATCGTATTAAAAATTTGAAAAATAAAGCACACAAAAATGTGGTCATCATAAATTAAATAAATTAGTGTGCACATCGGCAAGTTCAAGAGCAGACAAACAAAAAGCATAACAAGACAAAAAAAAAAAGGTTGACAGATTCATTGAAATGCGTAAGCAGGAGGCTTAAAGCTGAAGAGCTTGAGTTGCCAACAATCGAGACATAAGCACGTCTGACCGTATACCCTACAAGACAAAAGATATTGCAGTCGAAAAATAAAAGTACTTAAGACCACTGCAAACATGTTTAGATCTCTGCTGGTTAGATAATGCCGTTCAAATCCAACAAATTGAAAAAGCGAGTCTTTGAGCGTATAATTTTAATTTATTTGTTTTTTTTTATGTCGTTTTTCTTGGACTGGCAACATAACAAGTTTTTAGCACACTCAGCAATTCTAAGTAGGTTTGTATGTTTTTAAAGAGCGAAGGCTACTTTCAAATTACTAGATGGATAGCCAAGATCTGGCGCGTGAGACGTGAGCGCGCAGTTCTTGAAAAGCTGAATGTGGTTCATTCAATGATGGCTCTTTGTCAAGTGCCACAAGTAATTTTTGTGAATCAGCAGATCAGGCATTGTTTTCGACTGTTATGATTTGGTTTTGGTACGCGAAGGTCGCTTCGATCAATTGCAATTATGGGCCGACTGATTTGCCAGCGCTTTGCCGCAGTGCCACATATTGAGGAAACTCGCTGCATTAATTTAATTGAGCGTCGTTTTATTATTATTTTATTTACAGATATTTGACATCAACACAACATGCTTGCATATTTGGCTCTAACGCTCTGTCTGGGCGTGGCCATGGCCAATAATAATTTGCGTGTGGCCTACGAGTGGCGCGAAATCGACTTCAAATATGAGAGCTATGATCAACGCTGGCAAGCCATTGAGGCTGGCTCATTTAAGCCGGCCAATGTAATACCTTATGGCTTGGAGGTCTATCGCTCGCGTTTGTTTATAACGCTGCCCAGGTGGCGTGCCGGTGTGCCCGCCACTTTGGCCTACCTTGATCTTAATGGTGAGTAAGCAAGCAAACATGCAACCAACTGTTGCATTATTACAGCAGCAGTTAGTGTCTGACTTCTTGACATTTACGAGACTTTAGGTTGCTGCACTGAAAAACATTCAACGAACAACTCTTTTTTTAGTTTGTCATATTTAATTCTTTTAGAAAACCAGTTTATTTTTAAATCGGCAAAAATATCCAGGAAGCGAAAATTCTTTTTGCATTGAGCTCGAATACAAAAAATATATTTAAGCTCTTATTTAAACATTCTCAACGTTCCATTAAAAACTTATTTAGCAACTTTTTAAAAGGAAAACTTATCACCTAATCAAAATTTGTTGTGTTAACGTTCAAGATCAAAAAGTAAACCAACATTTCAAATTATAAAAGTTAAGTAGCCAGGTATTTATCATCTACATAAGATTGTCGGCCTTTTATATCTACAGTTGGTTGGCAAGTCTTACAATTGCTTGACTAATCTAGTTTACTGTTGAATAAGCATTTAATTAGGTATATTTGTGAACAGGCTTGTCTAACATTAGGCATACAAGAGTTAAGTATAAAACAATATGCATATCCACATGTATGTATATGAAAAAAAGCTCACACCAATGCATCTAAAGGAAAATCGAATCGCAAGAGGTATAACAAAAATAATAAGTTTTATCGTTACGTTTTCAAAACACTCCTGGGCAAGCCAGAGCTAAATAGTTGTCAGACGGGAAGGCCTATAGCATTCGAAAAATATATCTGTGATTTAAGAAATTGTTAAACGTTAATATAATGCCAGTAGCTAGTATACCTTTATAAGTACATGCAATATTTTTATATATTTTTTTAATTTTCTCAAGGCAATTAATTTAATTTGTTTTTTTCTTATTTTGAAATTAATTAATTTATTCATTTTAAATATTCAGTTATTTAATGATTCGAATTTATTATTATTAAGTCAACTACAAGTCAACCAAGGGTAGTAGAACTCTTGAGGCAGTTGCTAGAGTCTGAGATTATTAGGCGCGCTAATCCATCAACATCACTAATAATTTAAAATGTATCTTAGGAATATCTCATTCTTTTTCCCATAGTGTGGAGTTAGACCGCTAGTTGTTCGTGCTCGCATTGCATTTGCATAAACCTAATTGTTTTATAGCATTGTTAGTCTTATGCCAACAATGGCAGCTCACTTAGAGCTGCCAGCAAACCACAGGCATTGCACACTGTGTGAAATGCTCGGTACACAAGCATGTGGGATTTATTACTTGAAACGAAAATATTTGCACAAAAACAACTCGCTATTTGTTGATATTTATACATACATATTCAAAACAATCGCGATCTCAAGTGCCTGAACAAGACATTAGGTTCTAGCTCTTGTTATTGTTACTGTGAGTGCTCACACTTCCGTTCGCTTGCGTCATTGGCAATGTATACTATTTAATATTGAAAACTCATTAGCATGCAAGACACAATGCAGGACCTAAGAATATAAATCAGGATAAATTGATATGTGACGAAAATTAATATAAAAATCTTCAAAATTCCAAGCCAAATAAATAATTTCTGCATACATTTTAAATATCAAGCCAAGAGTGTTTGGTGGAATTTAAAATATTGTTGATTTCAGTCACTATTTTTGTGACCACCTATGTCTTGATAGGTATATTCGTACTCGTATACAAATATAGCCAGATATGTAAACAAGGCAAGCATGGATGTGGTTAGTAAACTTTCCAGTACAGTTTGAACTTGTGTGAGGCTAAAAAATAATTGCGCTCCGTACATAAATCAAATTCAGCGCGCCAATTTAATGAGCAAAAGTCTGAGTGGTCAAGCGGTTCTGACCAAAAAATGTGCTCGGCAATATCAATGAGCTGCCTGTATTACCTGCCGCAATGAATCAGTTGGGTTAATACGTAGTACACAGTTTGTCATGGCATATGCTAATTAGCTGAGGTGAAACGTTAATGGTGCTGCTGATGACGCTACAACAGCAGCACATCAATACACAGAATCTATAAGTAACAATCTGTAAGATCAATCAATGTGCCAGTGGAAAATGGCTTGGAACCAGCCAAAGATATTGATTGAATGAAATAGGAGCAAGGTCGGGGTCACCATAAGTTAAAGCAACACCTTTTAGTTAGCCCAAAATGATTTGCGTTGAAAGTCCCAACCAATTTGAGCTTTTCTGGAACAGATGACGCTACAACAGCAGCACTTCAATAAACAGAATCTATAAGTAACAATCTGCAAGATCAATCAAAGGAAATCAATCAGTTGAAATTGTCTTGGATCCAAACAAAGATATTGATTGAATGAAATAGAAGCAAGGTCGGGGTCACCATAAGTTAAAGCAACAACTTTTAGTTAGCCCGAAATGATTTTAGTTAAATTTCCAACCAATTTGCAGTGGATAAGCGATTCCGGAGCAGGGTAGCTGGTTATATTAAAATTTGCCTTTGAGGATGGATTAAGGATAAGGCAGTAGCGCTATAACAAAGCCGCAACCAACAGCAAGCTGCAGAGTATATGAAAAATTAATGAATATCTACACATTTAAATCTCAGGTCGCTTTTATTACAGATTTTGTTCTTAAGCTGTTTAAAAAAATGTTCCTTCCATTTATTTAATTTACCTCCATTTCTCTTTCAGATACGAGTACACAAACGCCTGCGCTGACTCCTTTCCTCAACTGGCAGTCGCAAAGCTTAAGTGAAGAGAATCCAGAGCTTGTTTCAACTTTCCGCGTTCGGGCCGATCGTTGCGGTCGCCTGTGGGTGCTAGACTCGCGTATTTCCAGTGTTCTGGAGCAAACTAAACTATATGGCCCGGCACAGCTGCTCATCTACGATCTGCACAATGACAATCTGCTGCGTCGTCATGTGTTCCCAGCTGAACAGATGAAACAGAACTCGTTCTTTGCCAATCTAGCTGTGGAGGGTCATGACTGTGAGAACACGTATGCATATGCTGCTGACTTGGGCAGTCCTGGACTGGTTGTTTATTCATGGCGGGACCAGGAGTCTTGGCGCGTGCAGCATCACTTCTTCCATCCAGATCCCATGGCTGGCAACTTTAGCATCAATGGCATTGAGTTTCAATGGGACGATGGGCTTTATGGATTGGCCTTGTCTAAGCCAGAGACTTCAGGCTTTTCCACACTCTATTTCCACCCACTTACCTCATCTATGGAGTTTTCGGTGAACACGTCTGTGTTGCGCAACAAGACTCTGGCCACTTCGGGTCAAATATATCGTGAGTTCAAGGTGTTGGGCTCACGCGGTACAAATGGTCAGGCAGGTGCACAGTTTTTGGATCAAGAGACGGGAGTACTCTTCTATACGCTGCCCAATATGAATGCAGTGGACTGCTGGAAGACTTCGGACGGAATGTATACGGAAAAGCAACGGGGCCGTGTCTATATGGACGATAAGACTATGGTGTTCCCCAGCGATATCAAGGTGGATGATAAGCACAATCTCTGGGTGCTGTCCAATCAGCTGCAGGAATATATCTATGATGAGCTCTATCCGGGCTCTGTTAACTTTCGCATACTAACGGGTAGCGTGCAGGAGGCTATAAAAAATACGGCATGCGATACAAAGGCCAAGCCATTCCCAGAACTGATTAACAAGTTAGGCGATATATTGAACCCAGTTACAAATACGAAAGCTGCTGGTTCGGGACCACGTTCCGCAGCCTCCACCTACAGTCTAAGTGCCGCGCTCATTTCCTGCCTTTTGCTATTTGCCAGACTAGCGTAGACTTCAAGTTATTTCTGAGTTTCTTCTTAATAGTATTAAGTTACTTAGTTCTGGATCTTTCCATTAGTTTGTATAATAAAATAATAATAATAAATTTATTGAACAATAAGTGTTTTTAAAGTTTAGTACTTGGGTAATTTTTTCGCTTCAATCTTATATATGGCTGCCACATCCGCGGTGTCTTCGCTGCGCTGAGACTCGTTCTCTCCCTCCTCGACCTGCTCCTCGTTTCGTTTTTCTTCCTGCTTTTGCAGGCGTTTGATGAAACCGCCGCAGAAGAACAACGTCATCTGCAAATAGTAGATTAATTAAATTCAAAATAATTTAGTAACTAATAAACTTAATATTACGTGTTCCAGTATGCCAATTAGACCCAGCACCGACAGACCTAATAGAAAGCCCAGAGAGCCACCAACATCGGCGATAAATTGTGTAGTGTCGTAGCTGGGACGTTCTTCAAACATCTGTCAATATATATATATATATATATATATATTAATAATATGTACAGGCAATTACAATAAAATTAGTTATCAGTCTGTTTACAACTCGTACCGATATCAGCTTGGTTGTGTAGTAGATATAGACCAGTGTACGTGGTTCTGGTTGTATAAATGCTTTTCGATTTTGTATGTAGGTGGAGTAGATGCGTGACTCACAGGGTTGCAGACAATCAGTATTGAAATCATCCTCGGCATCATAGACGCTGAAAGTAATAACACCTGAATGTATATATCATTATGAAAACATCGACAAGATTTATGTTACTTTTTGTACGACGATATCAAATTACGCATGGAATTGGTATCATTGCAGGGCTCGTGCAGAATTTCCTGCATCCAGGGACCAGAGCAATTGGTTTCCTCCGCTAAATCGTGCCAAATGCAAAGCTCACCGCACTACAAGGCAGAAAACAATAGAATTAGAGGATACTTAAGGAAATCTACTATGTATACAAAGTCTAAAGAAAGTTATAAATAGGATGAATGAAAGATAATCAGAAATTGAAAAATTATTGAGAGTCCTTTAGTAGAACGCTGGTTACCTTTAAATCGCTGTAGCCTTCCTCGTTAGAACATGTGTTCACATTTGAGAAATGCTGGCTCTGCAGTTTAATTTCAATTTCTTCGCTAATGCTTGCAAACACATATTCAACGCGTCCCGATCCCTTCATATTAATCTCTGAAAGATAAATGCTTTAGATAGAATTTACTAAAAAGTGAAAGTAGTTAGAAATAATTTTCAATTATAGATACATAGAATTTAGTAATATTCCTTTCCGTTTCAATACGACCATTCCCTTGAGGTTTAATTTTAAATGTACGCCAGCAAATTTTCTAATATCCGCCCATAGCAGAATTAAAAGTAATAATAATTGTGGGCCAATAATTTTTCTTCAAATCGACCGAATTGGTATGAAATTTAAAACTAAAGCAGACAATTAAATTATTGTGCAAAGTTTGGTTTATGTACTTTTGGCATTATGAAAAAAATTTAAGAAATTCAGCAGTGGGAGATGGGGGGAGAGAAAATAAAAAAAACTCGTGTAGCCTGAGGATAAGGGGTGTCTACATACCAAGTTTGCTCAATGTGGGCTTAGTCGTTTCCGAAGGGAAGGCGTTCATACAGACAGACGGTAAAAAATAAATAAAAAATATAAAAAATATAGTACCTTATGGGGTCGGAGATGATTCCTTTACTCTTTTACATCTTTTACATAAATTATAAAAAGTGCAGTGTGAAACAATTTTACATTCCTGAATGAGAGCACAGTTCATTTATTTTTGAATCTTAAGAATTAAGAACACTAAAATATTCAATTTTATTGATTTTCAATTGTACCTGAAGGCCGAAACAATTTTAAATTCCTGAATGAGAGCACAGTTCATTTGTTTTTGAATCTTTTCACCGGTTATGAATTTAAGAACACTAAAATATTCCATTTTATTGATTTTCAATTGTAGGTCCGTAGGTCCAATTGATTGGTATTGTAATCTTGTGACTTACCCGTAAAATTGTCACGCTTATCGTGTATAAAGATATGCCAGCCGGGTCCTGATATATAATCCACATCGCTTGTTGCTGTTTTGTCTATGTTGTGCTCCAGGAGCAGGGAATAGCCAACTGACTTGGAAACACGTTTCATAGGTGCTTTAGGTCGCAGTGTAAAACAGCGACCCATATAAAATTGTAGACTGCTGTCGATATCCACATCTGGCAAATAACTTTGCAAGCTCAATAGAAAGGAGTGTGAATTCCTATGATTTTACTTACTATAATCGTAGCCATTAAGTCCGTACATAATAAAGGTTTCTTCCTTGCTGTAGGTACCATTTTCAAAAAACTCTTTTAATTCCACTTCACCAAAAGGATAGTCTTGCCAACATGTTGCATATCTAGGATGTGGACAGTAACCATGTGATATTTCCTGAAATAATGATTCAGTATCAAGCACGTTTTTATCGAAGTTTCAAGGACCTACTCCTAAAACGTCCTCTCTATACGGCGGATCGCGACAAATCGTGATTGCGGGCATTTCTATAGTCTCGTTCACATTATAATACGAATGCGTGGATATGGGCGGATGATTAAGCTTTGAAAAACATTCGTATAACTGTACAATGACAATTATGCAACAAACGAATAGCACCAAATATCGTATGAGCTTGGCAGGATCTCTGAGCAGCCAGGCACGTAGCTCCGACCAATATCCCATTTCGCTGAACTGGACGCGGTAAAAAGTGAAACTGTAGTGAATGTCAATGTTACAACAGAGAGTATTCATTCCATCAACACACCACCAGCGTTTTTAATTATGCAGTTTGCACAAATTCTCACAGTTGGTCAAGATAAGTTAATATTGATTTATGAGCCATGGACTGCTACATGCCCGATAAACGCCAGGTATAGGGATTTTTGTTTGCGTATCGTCTGTATTGGAGTTAGTAACTACAACTAAATGGGCTTATCGAAACGTGTAGCGAACACAAAAGTTACAACCAGATTATGGCTTTGTTTTCGCATGCTTTCTGCAGATTACTAAGTATATAACGTTCATAGCGTAAAATTGCCGAAACATGTTGTTTATAATTCCGTTTATGGGCATGAGTACGTGCAACTAAGGATAGATATACATATCTGGCAATAAAGCTGCAGTTGAAATCAGCGTTTCCCAAAATGTTGTGGGTGGCTTACGGTTTTATGAATTGAAACGCTCCAATTTACAGCCTCTTGCAAATCATATTAGTCAAAAGTGAATATGAACTTAAAGCGCATCTATTTATTTATCAAATTTGGTTCATATTGCTTAACATATGATGATACAAAAAATACTTACATATATTCGAAACTAAAAGCAATGTGATTGAAGATTCATAAAATGTTTTAATGCAAGCAATATACAAGTAGAATGCACTAGAGCTAAGAAACGGATTAATCCAGAGAGACCTATCGAGCCTCATACAGACTTATCGTGCATTTGTAATTAGGAAATTTAAAAACTATAAAAATTGTTGCTTGAAATACTCAACAAAAGCATTTAAAGCTTAAGTAACACTTAAATATCTATACTCCATGATTTGCGTTTCTTGATTATACATTTTTTAGACAAACTATTGTATGTTAGGAATCTGTATGGCGATTAACCTTTATGGGGCTAATAGATTCAATTTCATATTTTTTAGTTCTTATTAAAATGTTGCCTTAATAATTTTCATAAATTATAATATATATTAATTTTCGGATTCTTTTAAATATTCCTTTAGAGTTTATCATTTATCACATTTCGAAGGTCTTGTTGTCTTTACTTAAATAGTAACACAAATAAATTATTTATAAATGCGCACATTATTTACTAAAAATATGTTCCTGATTCGGAATTATAAATAAAGATTGTTCTGAATAATTCCCTAACATTTCTATGAAAGATGGACATGGAATACAAATAAGATTATGCAGCATACTTTTAGGGTTGTTGCTGAGTAAGCTAGGTTTGGGAAACCCTTTTGTGTTTTAACTTTGTTAAAAAGCAACCGAATTAAAAGCAAGATTGTATAGTATCTATGATCACAACAGCAAATTGGTTTATCGAGTAATAGAGATTTTTTAATTCTATTCAAATATCCTGAATACTAACATGGGAATTAAATGTATAATATAAAACCAGCATTGTTAGTTGAACATTTATTCGCACATTAGTCAATAAATGTGTAATGTAACTATTGGTCTATATCTTAAAAGAGTTAATAAATAATTGAATTTAGTATGAAAGTCTTTTAAAATAAAACCGGGAATAGGTTTTCTTCGTTAGTTAATAAGTTATTAAAGTTAAACGTTTTTTAAATAGAGACTGGGAACAGCTTTTCTTCGGCTGTACAAAAAAGACTAATATACATAGATGTAATATGTTTATTGCGACCACTCAGTTCTTTAAATTACTTATGTTTATTTCATCTTAATAGTAAATGAATAACAATTTCCAACCCGACTGCAGAACTGTAGATGCAGTTATGTATTTAAATTCATGAGTTGCGAGTATGAGCAATGGCCTTTGGTTCTTGCTCAAGTGTATGTATATTATTCTGTGTAATTGCTTTGCTAAATAAATGAATGAAAGTCTATAAAGTGTGTTGTGGCTACCGTTCGCGAAATCCATCATCATTATTTAAAATGCTTGGGAATGACTGAATTGACCTTATGTCTTAAACAAAAACAGCTTAGCTGTCAGTACACCTATGTGGGATAAATGTTCATATAACCCAGCCATTAGCTCTTTAAGCCATTAGAGTACATAATATACTAATGTATATTCGTATATGTATGTATGTACGAGTACATATTGCATATAGAGATTTTCAACAAGAAAATTAGTGAAAACAAATGAAATCAAGGCAAACCATTTGAATGTGTGTGGTGGGTCCAGTTGTGGGAACAGCCGTATAAATTCCTCAGTTGTGACGTTGGAAAGTCAGCACAGAATTGAGTGCGAGCCACTACATAGGTTATATGTATGTATACTCATATATACATATATCTTTGTATATATATACATGTGTCTATGATTATATAGATAGATAGATAGATAGATAGGTGCTTGTATGTGTTCGGCTAAAGCAAAAAACTAATAAACAAAAAGAAACTTGTTACTAAAAATAGCATAGATTGAAACATTTTGAGAAAAAGAATAACAACAACAACACCAATACACATGGACGTGTTGACGAGCAAGAAGCAAAAAGTTTTCTTTACTTTTGAGCCAAAGCCAGAACGGCAGATACAGATACATATGCAGCACCGATACCAGAGGCAGAAGCAGACCATTTGACGAACTGCTTGTCTTTACTCAGCTGCCCATTGCTAAAGACACAACGGATTTTGCACGCCAGCTTATAGAGATATAGGAGAGAGAGAAAGAGTGTGAGAGAGAGAGAGAGAGAGAAAGAGTGTGTATATCTAGTAAATTTTAGATATAAGAAATTTGAAATAGCCACAGGCACGCCACATACACGGTACAAGCAATGCCTGCTGCCACGTATTTGTGTGAACTTCTTCGCAACTAAATAGCTTTTGTTTTAATTTTAGCACACAGCCGTGTCTATATTAAACGCATATGAATGTTATTTAGATATTTGGTATATAAAGCACTCTATGTGCTATCCATACTATAACACACACACACACCAACACACACCAACACACACCAACACACACTCTCACACATAAACATTTTGTTTATAACTCGGCCCAGCATCCATGCCCATCCACACCACTGAATAGAAGTGCTTATTTTATGGAGCGTTCTGGCCCAATACATGACCCATATAGGCTGTTATACATACAGAAAATGTCTTTTACCTGGGCCCCCGTTTTTCTAAAGTTTTCTCCGTCTGTTTCTTTTGGAGTATCGAGAATGTTTTATAAATACATTTTTAGCATATTACGCTGTACATGTACATGGGTATATGATAATAAATTTAGTGAAAAATATTTTTTTTTGCAGTATATACTGAGTCATTTAAATATTGTCTATAGCTGCTGCCTGTGATTAATAAATGTACGCAGAGGCGTCGTCAGCAGGTGCAGGCATATGCGTTACACCTGTGTGGAAATTTTTGTAATTTTTTGCCGCCCATTGGTTCTAATTTCTCTGCGTTGCAAAATAATCATTTTATTTTTCATTTTCACTCATCATTAATAAATGTCTGGCTGTCCAATACGTATAGACATCGATTATTGAATTTTTGTGCATTTATCTATAAACATACATATACACGTATATACTTATGTAAGTCTATATGCACTCGTACCTGCAATATTATGTGCAAATGGTGTGTGTAAATAATTTTGGCCGACTTGCTATACTCGCGAACGGCGGCTGGCTATAATGTAGCCAACTTAATTGGGTGACAAATGCTTACAGAAATAATTTTAATGCTCCACACATCAATGACTAATATTAAATGATTCGATTTTATTGGCCAATTTATAAGCAATGCACATATAGTACATACTTATACATATAGTGTATGCATTTGAAGATATTTGAATTATGTGCGTGCGCTTTTCAATTGAGCCAGAGCCATTTATCATTAATGTCTAGCACTATGTCTGAGTTGAGCTGGACGTATCATTAAAAATTTCAGGAAATTCTCGAGACTTTCATGAATATTGAAAATACAGTAAGACATTGATTGTGTCATATATATTTCTATTCAATTCTCTTAATTGGCCTAAAGATTGTTGTAGTAGAATAACCTAATATTATTGTTATTTTTAAAGACTTTTGACTTCTGACTTCTGCTGCTTGGTTTGGGTGGCCAGGCTGCTAAGCTACTGGCGTACTTTTTTTTAAAATAATAGTCGACCATTAAAACAGACTACTTGACAGTTTTCTCGCCTGAGCACAAGTTTCTACGATGCTCTTTTTTTTGTTAATTAAACATGATGGATGGAAGAATAGCGGCTTCGTCCAGGGTCCTGCTGTTTGACAATATAAGCACATTATCTTCCCCTAACGCGTATTCTATGTGTACCACAAAATAATTGCAAAATATGGCCCCTTTTTTGGTGCAATATATATTATTATTAAGATTATTATATCCAAAGAGAGGACTATCCGCTGTGAAATAACATACAAGTAGTTTAGGTTTTTTTTAATGCATTTTAAATATGACCTTTCTCTTTCCCTGCTCTTTCCCAATAAACTGTGCACACATTTTTTATCAAGCTAAATCGTTCAGTAAGTTTGACTTAAATAAGCTTCTCAAGTTATATTTAACATCATATTTTTTAAAGTAATATTTTGTTACTAATCGTTAAAGTAAGTTAAGTAAGAAAATGAAATCAAATTTCCACACCCTTAAACATGTAAAAAAAAGCAGGCCTAAAGTTGATAATTTTTAATTTATTGTAATTAAGAACATGATTTTTTTGTAATCCTCTCATATTCGGCCAATTATTTTCAAAAGTCTGGGGTGTTATTAAAAATAAAAGAATCGTTTAATGCCATTAAACACCACTAGATAAGATAAGACGTATCTAAAAAATGAATAGAATTTAATAAGCGCGCCGATCTTCGTATACCCTGTACTAGCTTTTTTCGTATCATAGTTAAATAAAATGAATTTGTTGCACCAACTGTTCCCATTCAATATAAATTTGGTTTACACCCATTTTAATGTTACTTCTTGAGATATTTTGAAAATCGTTTCAATACCA